GTCGAGAAAATTTATTTTCAGGTCATAATTTTTATTTCCTTTTACAAGATGACAATTTATATTTAACCTTAAAAATTAATCGTGTGCTGTTAAAAGTTTTCAAGTGGATTGAAAACAGTTACTGAAACAATTAAGAGACCATTTTTAAATATAGGACTAGGGCAGTGGTCGGCAACCTGTGGCTCGCGAGCCACAGGTGGCTCTTTTGATGTAAAGTTGCGGCTCTCCAGTTTCATACGAAAGAAATAATAAATTGTTACCAAAGCCCTTAAAAATAAGAAAAAATATTTTTAAGTACCTAATTTCTCAAGAGCTTTCTATTCTTATAATCGTTAATTACAAACCGCTACCCTCAGGCCTGTCGTTATTCCCGGTTAAAGGGGTTTCTCATTCCGACTCGATTCCGAGTATTCACCCGGAAAAGTGGCAAGTCTGCTGTCTGTTTGAGCATGCCGTTACCGACACCATGAAAAGGCACAAAAAAAGGATGATGCCTGCTACTCCGATCTTGTGAAACAGCAGACAAAACCCCGGAAATTTCTGTCAACTTGAAAAATCCAGGGTGCTTTAAAAGTAATTATTTAGAAATGGCTTTTTCTCACGTTTTCTCTTGCTCTTTCTAAGAATAAAGACAATATCTTTGTCCATGTCGTTAAGAAAGGGAAGGAAAGGGCTCTCAATGCACATACAGCTGTGGTTTTCTCTATATGACTGTCCAGTTTCTTTTCACTCACCTCCCCAGTTACTTCACTGACCTGTCTTTAACTGTCCAGTACCAGTTTACAAGTACTTAGTTACTCAAAGCATATCTTATAAATTAATATTATTATTGAATGTAAGTATAAATTTTTTATGAATATTTACTATTTGCAGTCTTATTGTTTAAATATTAAGGTAAAATTAAATTTCATTAAATATGTTGTTATTTTCTTATTAAATTAATTCCTCAATTATTGCTTCAAAATTTAGGTATAAGACTTTTTTCAAAAAAGAAAAAAAATATTTTTTTTAAAAATATATATGGGTAAAAATTGATTTTTATGAAGTAGATAAAAAATTTTTAATCTCTTTTCCACTGTAAAATGATTAAAAGAAAGAAAAAAGAGCAATTAAAATTTTTTTACGTTATTTATATTCATTAGTAGGAGCTTGAGATGGAAACAGATAAATCACATTTGAATTCTAAATATAGGAATTTTTTTTCCTTTTTTTAAATAGTTATTTACTAAGCTTTTTAATTTTGTGTTTAAAATAGTAATTTATTTTTAAATTTAATTTTTTCAGTTGAGATTATTTTTCACAGATCTTATTTAATTTAAATTTCAAAAATCAAATTCTATATTTGTTCGTAGCATTTGTTTTTATAATAAGTTCAAACTGCAATCCGTTATGAACAAAACTATACTAATGCTTATTTTATTAAAAATGTAATGTGTTTAAAAATAGAAAAGCTTCAGTTTTTTTTTCAATAATAATTTTTTTTTTTCATCTTTTTTGTTACTATGTTGATGTATTTCGTATGTATTTAATGTTTTTTATTTATATTTTAGATTTAAGTTAACAATTTTCCATTTGTTTAAGTTAATTATTAGTAAAAAGAAACTTAATATTTTTGTAATTATGTAAAAACTCAATTCACAGTTTTGTATTAAAAGGCACGATAATTAACAAAATAAATAATTAACAAAATTGTACTTTAACTGCCTTAACCAGAAAAAAAAATTTTTTTTGCGATTTAAGGGTATTTTTTTTTATATTTTAAAAAAAGACTTAAACATTCTTCGGTAAAGCATTATTTACAAATCATCAAATTTTACAAATATTTATTTATGATTTATCATGCTGCAATGTTTGAATACATAGTTAAATTTTTTTTAAAGTTTTATTTATTATTTATATAGTATTATTTTTATATAAAGAAATATTCGGATAAAAAATTTAGCATTTTACAAATTTAAGGCAAGAATGCGTGAAAAAATTTATCTGTGCTTCCAAAACTAGTTCATCCCCCCCCCAGAAAAAAAAGAACTATTTCTGTATCCCCATTCAAGATTTTAGTCACAGCTCTTATATTAATAACAATGTAAATTATAAAATGAATAATAAAAATAAATAAAATTATTAAATGAAAATGAAAAATAAAATTTTAGTAATAAATAAGCATTAAAAATAATTATTCGCAAATCAAATTACTAAAATTAAATAAATACGCATATAATATTTGAAATGCATCAGAAAGAATCCTACTTAGATTAAGAGTTTAAAAAAAATGCACGAGTCATAATTGATGTCTGATAATTTTTCAGTTTAATGTTTCAGTTTAATGAATAAATACTAATTTAATTTTCATCTACATTTTTTAAAGCCTTTGATGTGTATCACATGTTATTATCATGTAAAACATGATGTTATGAAAAGACCACCCTTAATATAAATTTTTATAAACCTTGTCAAAAATAAAGATAAAAATCTACTTCAGCGGATGTAGTAAATTAAAATTTAAAAGGGAAAAAACAAGCATATAAATTTAAAAAATATCTAATGCAATATATTGATATAATCTTTATAATAATAGTAATAATAACAGGCCTGTTTAATTGCCAGGTGAATGTTGAAGTTTTTAATTTATAAAGTTATTTAATTTAGTAAAAAATCGTTAATCGCCTTTTTACACTCGCCTTCCTCAACAGTGATTTGTTTGTTTTCGATTGTTAAAATTCTAACGTGTGACCTCTATCTGTTCGTTTTCGCGTTCACTTGAAACAAAATTTCTTTAAATGCATATTAAGAGCGGTCATTCCGAATTTCCTGCATATTATTAAATTTAGCAATCAAATACATTAATGTTGTAACTTTGCGTATAAAAGGTATTTAAAATAATAGAAGATCGTTACTTTCAGTGACTTTTATTAAATTAATTTTTTAAAAAAGTGTTAAATTATTTGAGTTGGAAAGCTCGAGGCTCTATAAATGTTTACAATAAATAGAAAATAAATAGAAATTACAATAAATAGAAAAAGTATGTGACCATCGTTTCTAGCACTTCATCATAAGTCGATTTAACGTTTGCCTTGACAAAAAAATGCAAAATTTATTTAAATGTTTAATAATTAAGTGCTTAAAAATTGTTTTTAACAATAACAAGAATAGACGGTACATATTTCTTAAAAAAGGAAAATTGTGAAAAGATTCTGATATAATATAAATGAATATTATTACGGAATTGCTATGAAAAATTAAAAAGAATTATTATAAAATCTGTCGGATAAGATTGTGTTTCGTTGCACATTTAATAAAAAAAAAATCGCGTTTTCTGTTGAAAATTTGACAAGAATTAGTAAGAAAATTTACAATTTTCATCGAATTTTAATGACCCAAATAACTTATCCCCCCCCCAAAAAAAAAGAAATAAGTTAAAAAAATTAAATAAAAACTAAATTTTAAAAAAATCATTAGCGTATTTTAAAAATAAAGAATAAATATTATTCTGTACTCAAAACCATTTTTTTTTAATTAAAAATCATATATACATAAAAAAATATTATAGTATTAAATAAAAAATTTTCAGTGGCTCCTTTAAAAGCGGGAAATTTTGTAAAATTGTAACTTTTGGCTCTTTCATTTCAAAAGGTTGCCGACCCCTGGACTAGGGTGAAGAAAGATTACAAGTAACGTTACTTAATGTAATAAGTATGTATGTGTTCACATAGAAAAGATATTGAGTTGCCTTAAAAAAAGAAAATATTTTATTCATTGTAAAAAAAAAACATTGAATCGGGAAACAATAAAAAAAAAAAAATCTCAAGAATTTGTGATGGGATCCAAAGTGACCGAAAATAAGTCCAAGTATGAATAGACTAATGACCTTGCAAATGTTCAGACATTGAAATCATCTAAGACTTTTGGGTAGTAGTGGCCTGTAAGAAAGTAAAAAAAAAAAAAAAAATCAGAGATAGGGGCCAACTCAAAGGGTATAATTAGTAGCAACCTGTAACATGTTTTTAATCCATTTGGCAATTGTAGATGGCACAACATAGAAATATCCCCCAAATAATTTTTTTGTATATGAAATTACTAATTTTAATAATTACTAAGATATTGTTGTAGAAATCATAACACATTCTTTAATTAATTTAAAACACAAAAGGTTGTTAAATTAAAACTGAAATTTTTTAGAATACTATTAGTCTTGAAAATTTCAATACTTAGTGAAAGATAGTGACGCCCGGTGGCTGAGCGGTAGCGCTTCGTGCTGTCGTGCCACAGGTCCCTGGTTCGATCCTCGGGCCGGGCAAGGTTCACTCAGCCTTTCATCCCTTCAGTGGGTCGATAAATGAGTACCAAGCATGCTTGGGAACTAAACACTGGGGGTTCCGCGTTCGGCTGACCACTTGACCGGAACATCTGCTCCTGCACCCCAGAGCCCAAGGTCAAGAAAACTGAGATGGGCACAGTAGGCCTTGGCCCTCTATGGGCTGTCGTGCCACTGAGTTTAGTTTAGTGAAAGATAGTTCTATGTGATGTATGAGTGAATTGTTCAAAATTCAATCGGTGCTATTGGCTTTTTCATTGTATTATCAAATCTAAAATCATGCTATTTTGCCAATTTTTTGATTTATTAGATCATGCTATCACTCTAAAAAAAAAAAAAACAATAATATATATAATCTGTAAAATTCAATTTTCTAAAATTAAATATATATAATTTTTTTTTTACCAAACATCAATAAACTACGAATCAAAGTGATTTATTTACTATAAATTATTAAAAGTCATAAACAAATATAATTAAAAATCTAAACTAAGAATTTAAAAAAAAAAGACAATCTATTTCTTCATTTAAAATTTAACTTATCTTTCAAACATAACATTTACTTACTAATTTCTTTTAAATCTTGAATGAAATGTAATACTTCTAAATAACACGCTCTTAGAAATCTTAAATATATTAGAACAAATTACTTAGAAATAAAAGCCATACAACAATAAATAATCACAAAAACTTTTAGAATATTTATTCAATATTCCTGATAAATAATTTAAAAATTCTATAATTTAGACAAATGTTAGGTTAATCAGATGTGATTACAAGCAAAATATTATTTCTTTGGAGTTGCTTTCTTTTCTGGAGATGATGGTTCTTGTTCATTTGGTTTGATATTTGATTCAGGTTTCATTGCTGGGAAACACAGAACCTCTTTGATATTATTAGTATCGGTGAGAAGCATGATGAATCTGTCAATTCCCATTCCCCAGCCACCAGTAGGAGGTAGTCCATATTCTAAAGCCGTGCAGAAGTTTTCGTCGACAAGTTGAGCTTCATCATCACCAGCAGCCTTATCTTGAGCCTGGCGTTCAAACCTTTGCCGTTGGACGATGGGATCATTCAATTCGGTGTAAGCATTGACTACCTCTGTTTTCATGACAAACATTTCAAATCTTTCAGTAAGTCCAGGAACACTACGATGATACTTCGAAAGTGGGCTCATTATTTCTGGATGATCACAGAGAAAAGTAGGATTGATGCAATTTTCTTCAAGAAAATGTCCTACAAGTTTATCGAGCAATCTCGCAGTGGTCCTTGGTGCAGGACACTCTATTTCATATTTATTGCACAAATCAGATAATCTCTTATTTGATTCTGGCAGATGAAAATCAGATGGTTTAGGTAATTCTTCGCCCATTGCTTCCTGCAAACCAGTAAGCATACTTATTCTTTTAAAAGGAGGTGTAAAATCAATCTCAAATTCTTCGCCTTCCGGACCATCAGGATGGTATTTAATCTTGTAAGAACCTGTTAACTCCTTAACCATTCCTGATATTAATTTTTCTGTTATATCCATAACATCATTGTAATCTGCATATGCCATGTAAAACTCACAAGTTGTAAATTCAGGATTGTGAGTTAAATCTATACCTTCATTTCTAAACTGTCGCCCAATTTCGTAAACCCGATCCAATCCGCCAACAACAAGCATCTTTAAGTAGAGTTCTGGTGCAACTCGCATATACAAGTCCAAATTTAAATCATTGTGATGAGTTATGAATGGTTTGGCAGTTGCTCCACCAGCTATCATATTCATCATTGGTGTTTCCACCTCGAGGAACCCTAGTCCATCGAAGAAGGCACGGATATAGTTAGTGGCTTTAGCTCTAAATGTGAATCGTTGGCGGACAGAATCATTAAGAATCAAATCTAAATATCTCTGCCGAAAACGCGTCTCTTTATCTTTAAGTCCGTAATGAAGATGAGGGAGCATGTGGAGACAGGGTGATAGGATCTCTAATCGGGTTGGTATTATGCTCAGCTCTCCCATTTTAGTTTTGCCAGGATGTCCAACACAGCCAATGATATCTCCTCTTCGAATTCTACCATTGATTTCAAGAAATTCCTCTTCAGAAGGGTAATGTGCAACATGAGCCATTACTTGAATCTTGGTTCCTTCTCCTCTAAGATCGTAGAAAAGCAACTTAGCTCCGGATTCTCTTTTAGCATGCACGCGGCCAGCAACCGACACATTCACATCTTTTAATATCTCGGCAGGATTAAGATTGTTATATTGATCAACAAAATCAGTTAAAGACATTGAAACATGGAATTTGTGTGGGTATGGAGATTTTCCAGCTGCTTTTAAATCTTCAATAGCTTGAAGACGTATCTTAAAATATTCTGCCGCATCAGTAGGATCTTCTTGTTTAGCTACTGCATCCTTTTTTTCGGCAGCCGGCTGTTGAGCTTGCAATTTCTCCTTTTCGGATTTTTCCTTAGCTTTTTTTTCAGCTTTAAGCTGACGTTTGAGTTCATTTTTGGACAAAGAAGTTGAGGTTGACATAATGGAGGAATTGACCTGTATTAGATGCTTTAATTTGTGTAAACTAAGCAAGTTAGACTGACGATATGGAAATAATAACAATAATACGCGGCATGCCATGAACAGAAAGAAACCCACAGTAACAGTTAACTTATGATGTAAACGAAACTTAATATTTCGTAAGCCACACAGTGGCAGTTAATTAACATGAACATTTTAATTCCAAGAATTAGATCATACCTTAAATCGGCAAAAAAACCTTCTGATTTTGAAAATTTTCTTTCAATGTGGAAAGTCAATTCACAGCAAAACATGCAACGCACTGTCTTGGCTGACCGCCCTCTTATAACCCTAAACTTTGGCGATCTGGTGAAATGGGTGATTGCCAAACGAAATCTATCGCCAACTGCTTGGATGCCCGCTTTTTGAACGTGATTGAAAATGGCGAAAATGTTTGAGCTGGAAAGATGTAACGAATACGCTAGGAAATACATATTTTTTACTACAATATTTTTATTCATGCAAAGTGATTTCTAGATACTGGACATTAGTATTGCAGCGCTTGCTGAATTAATATAAAATAGCTCTTGGTGTCGACATTTTTACTGGCTAGCATTGCATATTGCAGGTATCATTTTCATCACTTTTCTTAGCATTATTGTCGGATCTGTGTTTTTATTTAAAGCAAGAATTTTTGTTGTTAATTATAAAGATTATTTTTGTGTGTGTGTGTGTATTGAATATTATTTGAAAGGAAATATGAATGACAAATAAGTTATAACTGTAATAAAACAAGGTTGGATGGAAACCACTTTTTTGTTTCTTATGAGTAAAAGGTTAAATTAATAATNCTAGAAGCATTGCAACTGAATATACAAATCACGAAGCACAATTTGTGTTACAATACAACTTGTGCTTTTCAATATTATTCTAAATTTTAAAAAAATCATTTATAGTAGTAATGTAATCATAGAAGCATCAAACAAATAATAAAATATGTAAACAGAGAACTTTAACACATGTAAACTAATTTTTAAAACCAACAATGAAAAAAATGTGAATCAATATTTTTATTTTAATACCACTAAAGCATATTCATACAAGAAAAGTTGATAATTTTAATGCGTACCTTAAAATCACGGTGCAAAATATTATTAATTTAACCTTTTACTCATAAGAAACAAAAAAGTGGTTTCCATCCAACCTTGTTTTATTACAGTTATAACTTATTTGTCATTCATATTTCCTTTCAAATAATATTCAATACACACACACACACAAAAATAATCTTTATAATTAACAACAAAAATTCTTGCTTTAAATAAAAACACAGATCCGACAATAATGCTAAGAAAAGTGATGAAAATGATACCTGCAATATGCAATGCTAGCCAGTAAAAATGTCGACACCAAGAGCTATTTTATATTAATTCAGCAAGCGCTGCAATACTAATGTCCAGTATCTAGAAATCACTTTGCATGAATAAAAATATTGTAGTAAAAAATATGTATTTCCTAGCGTATTCGTTACATCTTTCCAGCTCAAACATTTTCGCCATTTTCAATCACGTTCAAAAAGCGGGCATCCAAGCAGTTGGCGATAGATTTCGTTTGGCAATCACCCATTTCACCAGATCGCCAAAGTTTAGGGTTATAAGAGGGCGGTCAGCCAAGACAGTGCGGGCAGTTAATTAACATGAACATTTTAATTCCAAGAATTAGATCATACCTTAAATCCGCAAAAAAACCTTCTGATTTTGAAAATTTTCTTTCAATGTGGAAAGTCAATTCACAGCAAAACATGCAAATATGCAAAATCGACATTTTTTCATATTGCTCATATTTTAAGAAGCTAAAACTCAACTAAACTTTCATTGTTGTTTACTCTTTTTAAGAATGGGTTGCTATGGTAACGAAAATAAGAGTTATGGTTTTTAAATTTACTTTTTTTAATTTTAGCATTTAAAAACTGTCTATTTGTACATTTCAATATGGCAGAACAAACAGTAAATACTGATGAAAACCTTGTAAAATGTTTGACCGACTGTTGTGAAAATTATTTTACCCTGAAAAAGGGAGATGCTCTCTCTCGTCGAAACGCATTAAAAGAAATCCACAACTATATACTAATTTTGAAACCTGATTCATTTCAGGAAAGCAATTTAAATTCATTGCTAGATTCTCTCTCTCAGTCATTGACTTCTTCTTTATCTGATGGAAGTGAAAAATGTCGTGAATTATCTGTTGCTATCCTAAAAATTATTTTTAGTCGCTTCTCCATTTGTTCCGAATCTCTGTCTTCTCTCTTCAAAGCATTAGCTAATCGTCTTGGAAAAACTGATGAGCGTGAACAATCGGAAGAAATTAGAATTTTAGAGATAGAACTAATCAATGAAGTTATTGAAAGGACCAATTGTAGTCTTTTGTTGAATTTAAATGATATTGCTTCAATTATTTCAGCTTGTATCGTAGACGAGTGCCCTGAAATGAAAAGAAAAGGTTGCGAGTGCTTATCTTTGCTAGCATTTAAAGAATCCCAATTTCATATGATTGGCGGTACATTTTTAACACCACTTCTTGGGACTATAACTCACCAGCATATGAAAACACGCGTACTGTGTATTAAAGCTCTTGGTAAGAATAAATAATTTTTTTCTTCTGTTTTACAAAATTTGATATTAATATGACGTTATTTATTTCTTTTAAAAATTGTAAATTGAAGACTTTAACACCCGCTTGTTTATTGAAGAAATTTGTGTTAAAACTCATGAAAAGTTTCTTCATCTCCTCTATTCCAAATTCAAGAATTCTTTCTTTGATAGGCCAACACAATGCTTCAAAAACGTACAGAGATGTTAATACTTCTGTTGACATAAATTACAGTCTTAGAATGATGCATATCTTTGCATATTTAATTAATCTCCCTTTCATAATTTGAAATTATTATTCTCAATTTTTAATATTTTTCAACTGATAACTCACTACTATAAAAGAATACGATACATTGATTTGAAATACAATGTTTTAAAAGACTACTTGGTCAGCCCTCGATATTTGGTCGCCAATGGTGAGCGGGCAAGAAGAATAGTAGTGTCTTGATTTAAGGAGCAGAACAAACTTTTAAATTCCTACTGATAAGCTAAATTTATTTTTAACTTTCATTCAAATCATAGGGTGAAATTTTTTCTCTCATTTCATTGCATTATTTTAAATTTTTGTATCAAACATATATTCTTTTGGATAATATTAACTATATTGTTCTATTGTTGCTATAGCAAACTCCTACTACTAATTCTTACTCTATTCTTACTAGTTCTTACTATTCCTACGACTAATTCTTGTTTTTTAAAAAAAGGAACTTACTTTTGCAAGGTCTGTCCAGGCCAAATCTACTACCGTTTAGTGGTACCTTCACAAATTCAACTTTAGGAAAAACGGTAGTTTTACGAAATACTTTTTCTTACAATTTTATTTTTGTAATCCGTAAAAAACGACAAATCCATATTTTTACCATATTTTTGTGTTGATTTTTTAATATAATTTTTAATTTTCATAAGTTATGTCTAAATTTTCACAAAATAGGTATCTCTGAGAAAGACCTAGACAGACCTCTGTTTTGTATTATTTTTGTTAATAAAAAGTAGCACTAAAATGTTTAAAAAGAATGTATCCAAATAAATCCATAATGAAAATTAGGGTTCATGCTAAATATTTAAAGTGTTAAAAATGTATCTCAATTTACAAAATGTTGCTATTCTTCAGTTAAAAAGAAAATTAGGGTTCATACTAAATATTTAAAGTGTTGAAAATGTATCTCAATTTACAAAATGTTGCTATTCTTCAGTTAAAAAGAAAAATGTTTTTTTTTTTTGTTTTGTTTTTTGCTTCAACTGTTCTTTAATGTTATCAGAATTCAAGATAACAAAAATTGTGAGATATAAAACTTATGTTAAGGCCTCTAAACTTTTGGCTTTTATTAAACTACTCGGACCATATTTTTCAGATTGCACCTAAGCTCTTATGTTTGATGAATAACAATGTGAATGTGTTAAATAAAATATACATTTGTTGTGAAAGAGTAAAAACTTTATTACTGGTAACCGAACTTTATTACTGGTGTATGAGGGACCCCCTGATTTTTATCAAATTTTGGGAAATAAAAGAGTCGACTTATATATTTAGATGTATGGTTTGTACGGGTTTGCCCAGGATCGTTATGAGTTGTACTTTTCAAGTAGGATCTGCTCTGTAATGGTTTTAGATCCAAGTGATGACAACCAGGCAAGTATCCGATTGTTGCCAAAATTTAAAGATTTTTTTTTTTAAGGTATGAATTTGGAAATCTTCAGTGTTGAATTAGTTTTATATTTTTATTATCTTTATGCATTGAAGAACATCAATGTTGATTAAGATTTTAATAAAGGTATTGTTAAAAGCATAAATTTAGAAGGAAATCTTATCAAGCATTTATAATTTTATTTTATGATTGTGTACATATTTTTTTAAATAATCATTACTTAATGAAACAAATGAAATGAGATGGTAATTCTGTATGGTAATTGAGTCTTATTTTTTAAATTCAATATGTTTAAGAGTATTTAACTGTAAATAAAGAATCGTATGGCAGAATTTTTTCGAACTTTCTGCGACATACTTTTCTAATACTAATATCTTTCTGCAAGATATTTTAAGGATAACAAATATATATGTTACTAATTCAAAGTAACAAAAACTTCAACGTCAACAAAAAAAAAAAAAAAAAACTTTTCGGATCAAATAAAAAAAAACTTTTTAAAAAAATACATATTTTTTTTATTCTGATATTATGGGCAATATTCTGGCATTTTGTAGGAGGGAAACACACTGATTATTTCCTTTCTTGTATTTTGTAAATCATCATCACATTAAAAAAAAATCATGAAATCCGTAGCAGTAACTAATGTAAAAACAGATAGGCAACGAAATCATACGAATCGGATGATGAAAAGGGTTACTAAATGAGTGTTTTCATTTTGAGATTCGGTTGTTGTAATAAATAATATCATAAAAAAATATTGGATTTTAAAAAGTATGTGGAAATTAATAATGACTGCATGAAAAATATTAGAGCGAAAATTTCTGCAGAAAAGAAAAGCAAATTTTTTACTTTTTTATCAAATGAAAATAGAAAAATCACAATCATTTTTTTCCCACTACGATGCCCAAAAAAGGTATCTTTTGAATATAATTCTGAAGAAAAGATAAATCTTTTGAAAATTTCTGCAGAAAAAATAACCAAAATTTGTTACTTTCCAAAAGAAAAAATTTCTGCAAGAACTTGGTAACGTTCTGCGACAATGTTGCCTCGATTCTGCCACGGGGATAAAGAAAATATATAGAATTTTAAATAAAAGCAGATAAAATTCCAAAATTGAACTCTTACACTTTTATATTAATACAGTTCATAAAAATTACTTTATAAAGAGATTGTCATAGAACTAAATTATAATAAGTTTTATACTGTCAAAGAACTAAATTTAAATTATTTAAGTGTAAAGTGGAAGTGATAAAAAGTTTTCATTGTTGAAATGTAAATGAATAAATATGTTTATTTGAGCATTTCAGAGTTTGTTTTCTTCGTGACTAATAATATTTTTATGTATATTTTAGGAAAAATCGTGGATTATTTAAACTGTGAGGAATTTGAAAAAGCTATTTCTTATTTAGCACAAAGACTATTTGATCACTCTCCAGCTGTTCGGTTAGCTGCTACTGAGGTTGTTGGCTCCATGATGTTAGAATTAAAAGATAGATATTCATATTTTCCTCGTTTAATACCAATAATACTCTCAACTTTATATGATGAAGTTCTTGAAGTTAGGTAAAACATCTTTTCTTCTTTTTTGTTTTCGGATTAACATTACACCTCATAAATTGGTGTTAATGTAGTAATTAATATATGTATACCCAATGTAAAAAATATTTATTTTCAGAATTGTTTAAAATTTGTTTAAGTACCATTTTTACCTTTTAATTTAAGGAATCTCTGAATGCCAACTGTTCTGCTTTTTATCTGATTCTGCTAATAGGGGGGGGGGGAAGCTTCATCTCCTGTTATGGCATTTTATTTATATATATTTTTTCTCATAAAATTGAGTTTATTTTTGTTTTGTTTTGTTTTTGTTGCATGCCTGTGAGATGCAATTGCGCATGTTTTGGTGTATTTCAAATTATTTTTATTTAAGAAAACTATTTTATAAATTTTTATTTTCTGACTCTTGTCACATAGGTCTAAAGGAAAAGAATTGTGGCATAAATCTGGCAATCAATATCTGAAAGAAAATGACAAAGATTATAAAGATCTTATTGATTTTCCACAAGAAACACCAAAAAATTATCCTAATGCAGGTATTTTTAAATCAAATTTTCTTTTTAATACAATACCTATAATATAGCCTAATTGTTTCAAATATTTTTTGAAAAAACGAGAAACTTTTTTAAAGGATTTATTCTTTTTTGTCCAATCATGAAGACATTTTTGTCTCTTAAAAGCTTACTTTTTCCAGAGATTAAGTATAAATTTTGATATTGTAGTATGTATTACTGTTTTTCTGCTCTAAATAATATGCTATGTATGTATCCGCGCACCTGGAAAGTCATGAAAAATCATGGAAGTCATGAATTTTGGTATTACACAAAATTTGTCATGAAATGTCATGATTTTAACTATTTTTTTAAAAAATCATGGAAAGTCATGGATTTAGATCTATGAAATTTTTTTTTTTTTTAAATGAATTTCCCCCTCCAATTTTTTGGTGTTCCGACTATCTGAATTTGTAACAAAATCCCCACTTACAGTCTTATTTTATTACGATATAAATTGTTTTTATCATAATCTTTAAAAATTATGGTGTTCTTTCAAAATATGAAAGGAAAATCTTTCTAGAGCAAACTATCTTTTAAACTTCTGTGATTTCAGAATTATTATAATTATTTCTGTATTTTTTTATTTTATCAATTTTGAAATTCTAGATGAAGTAAGCCAGTCATTGCGAAAATTTATTTATTCGGAAATGAGAACAGAAAAATCAGGAGTATTTCTTTTCTTTCAAATGAACAAAAAAAGTGTCTTTAGAATATAATTCTGCAGAAAAAATAAATAATTATTTGTTTTTGTAATTTTTTTCAGCTATTTTATTGCTTCAACATCTCTCTTTACTCTATTTTTTAAAATCTATAAACATAAAGATGCAGTGTGTAACAGTTTTGTTTATATCTATCATTTCAATTAATGTCATTATAATGCTTTTTTAAAATTATTATTGTGTTTTTGTTGAGAAAATAGTAACTTCGTTAAGTCATGAAAAATTCATGGAATTAGTCATGAATTTGAAAATCTAAAATGTAGCAGATACCCTGTATTTAGTAATTTTTTGTGGGCATTTTCTTAAATTGAATATTACAACTCTAGATTATCAATAAGTTGCTAAGTAAAAAAATATTGGTATTGTAAAAAATTTTTTAGTAATCAATAAATATTGCTTACAGTTATTTGATTTGAATATAGTTTTTATTGCTATAAAAAATGCTTTTTATGGACATTTAAAAATTCATTAAAAGATTTGGTTATAGCTGTATCATTACACACTAATAAATAATTGTTGTCTACTTGTAATTTTATCTGAATAAGATAAAATATTCCTTTATTTTTGCAGAAGATCGTCCTCCTGTTGGATGTCGCATTTTAGTACAAAGAAACTCATATAAAATTTTCCCACCTTTGCTAACTGAGCTATCTGATTGGCTGGCAGATACCAGAATAAAATGCTCTAAAGTTTTATATTCTATCATTCTTCATTCAGAAGAGAAAATTACTTCACAGTTAACAGCAGCTGTTGATGGTATTGCTTTTAGTGCTAAAGACGAGTCAAAGGAATGTGTTGAAATGGTAAGATTCATTGACTGCTTCATAGACATACTACTTAAGGACGTATATTATTACCTCTACAGGAGATGAGTAAAGGATTGTTTGGTAGCAGTTTTTGCCAAAGAAATAACAAAGCTCCTATAAAACACAGAAATGTTTTTAAGATTTCTGAGGAAAAAAATTTCACTAACTGTCTTTTAAATGTAAATATAAGTACACAAAACAATATTTATTGAAAAATTGCATACTTTGAACAAGCTGAGCACCTTTATTTATAGAATGTGAAGGGGCTAAAGCGGCAGTCCCTGGTAAGTCTAGAGTTAGATCACTGTATTCCTTATTACTATCTAACTTTTTTGCTGTTGGGCAAATTTGTAAAAAATTTTTTGCATGCAATTGCATTCTTTTTCTAAAGTAAATTTAAATAACTTAAGAAACATTTTGGGTAAAGTTATCAACGTTCTCAAGTAGCAGACTTTTTGTAGAATGACCCATATGGAGAGAACCTCATAAATGTTCTTATTTCTAAAGCACCAGAGAGTTAAGTTTATATTTTTGTTTATAAAAATATTTAAATGATTTGTGAATTGTGTTTGCAAATAAAATTTTAAGTTCACATGTAAAGTTTGAAATTGTAAATTGTTATGTAAAGCCTGAAATTGTAAATTGAAATGAAAAGTTTGAAATTGTACAGTAAAAAATTGGATGTTATTGGTATACTCTATTTAATTTTGAAAGAAAATAAACAAAAAATGTAGCATTCTGCAAATGCAGGTATAGATTATAGATAAGGATAATTATACTTGTCTTTAATGTTGGTGTGTTGACTGCTATTAAGCAAATTCATTTAATCATACAGATGTTTAAATTTAGATGACAAAAAATAAAAAACTAGCATGCTGAAATGAAAGAAGAGGTATAGATCATTTAGAAAAGTTAAGTGATATTTTATAAAAGGGGAGCACACATAAAAATATTCTAAAATCTCGATCTTAATCATAAATTATTATTTTACTGAGGAGGCTTGGAACCTATTATATCTTTCAATATTGAAAAAAAATGCAGTTTTTTTCTGCATTTGTTAGCAGATATACTTTACACAAGTTATTAACTCAAGCCAATTATAGTTGCCGATTTCTTATGCCCCCTCCAAAATGTAGAAGTATCAAAAATGTTTATTCTTAAGTCATGTTCAATAGCAGTCAATATGCTAGCAGTATTTCTTTTTCGGTTTTTTCCCCTTTAAGTAGAAAATCAGAATAAATAACAAATAAAAGTGCATTATCTTTTTTTAAAAATTATTATGAACCCTGTAATTATTTAGCATCTAATTCTACATTCAACTTTACAGAGAGTTTTCGATTATAGTAATTACAGATTATAGTTTGTGCTTCGTACAAAGTACTACATAAATATTTTATGTACTTTTAAACAAACAATTAATACATTGATATAAACTACTGAAAAAGGAATAAAACTTAGTTGAATTTTTCTTCATAATAATGTTTTAAGTAATTTATTTTCTTTTATTACTGACTAGCTATTTTTAGTTTTTAATATTGTAGTTTTGTTTTTTGACCAAAACTTTCTCTAAAAAAGTTATTTTTTCCTAAATTTTTATTATTAATGTCAATTAAATTCGTGATTTTTCATTGGAAAGCTTATTGGTTTTATTTATCTATTTTTATTTATTTTTATTTTAGTATATTAGAAATAATATTATTGAAAATTAGTTAATATAAATGTATGCTGTAATTATGTTAGGTTAGACAAATATTGATGCTTTCTAGCATTATGGCAGCATTTTTCTTTTATTATTGCTAGTATATACATTTTTATAAATTTAATTGATGATTAGATTTTTATTTTGTTTGTTTCTACACTGCATTAAAGTATTTTATGTATTGTGTTACTCTCTATTAATATATTTATTCAATTTCAGGCCATAAAAGCTGCAGAACTGCTAGGTTATTTTGTGGATCCTAACTTGCTTTGTGACACAATTATGACATTGATCCATAAGACCCCCTCATCTTCCAATTTAAGAATATTTGCTGCCTCTATTCAAGGATGCAGTAGTGAATATTCTGTTGAATGCTTTCAAGAAATCTTAAAATTTCTTGCTAGTTCTTCCATTTCAAGGTTGAGAAAGGTAATTTTAAGCACAATTGCATTTATTTCTCATCAATTGACTTGATAATTCAGATTATTTACATTTTGAATTGTCAATGCTGTTGAATTTTTTTTTTTTACAACTGTGTATTATAATACTTTGTTTATTATTCAGACTATATTTTTTCTGTGATCTTTGAAATTCGTTATACAAATAAAAAATAATTGGTTTTGAGTAGAGTTTAAAAAATTGAGCATACAGTACACTCTCGATTATCCGTGCTCGGATTATCCGGATTGCGGATTATCCGTGCTGATTCCGGAGTCACACGAAAAATATAAGGATAAGCATTTTGAAGATTAAAAAAAATTTTATTCACGAAGTTGTAACATTACCAAATGTTTGGAAGCAATATTCGTTATTGGATTGAAGTGTATGGAATATTAGCAGCATGGTCAAGGTAAAATCGTCTACTTTATCACGATCTTGGAGAAATAGAAGGTCTTGGAGAAAGATCATATCGCTTGATGAACAATCTTCTTCAGATGTTCAAGAAAAATATGATAACACTATTCTCGAACAAGCAAAAGAAATCTTAGGTTTCGAAATTCTTAACGAAGAAAATTGTGAAGATTGGTTTCAAAGTGATGCATGTGAGCCTGACTTCCAGTATTTGACAGATGAAGACATCGTTATGTTGTTAAATCAAATAGTGATGATAGTAACTGATGCAGAGGATGTAGTAAATGAGGGAAATACAATTTCTCATACTACTGCTCTGTGGAAACTTTATTAGATTATATGGGAGGATTTGATTACGGTGACATTACTGCGGTTCGTAAAATATGTGTATCGATATATGGCGAAGACGCATTACACATTTTTTAATAAGGAAAATTCCTAGTTTGATGTTATGCATGCAAATGTCAGTAATTTTTATATTTTTTGTACTGATATTGAATTTTTCTTTAATAAAAGGAGTTTTCGGATTATCCGTGTTTTTCGATTGTCCGTGCGACCTGTCCCGGTGATTAACCCGGATAATCGGGAGTGCACTGTATTACTATTTTTTTAATAAAGTTCTATTAGGTAGGTTTAATATTATAGTGATTATGCAATATATTTATTAAATATTTTCTTGCTCAAAAATTATAGAAAAGCATTTCAAAGCTATCAATGTACTTATATAATTAAGTAAAATTTGTATTTAATTTTCTTAATCTGTATTTTGCTGGAAAAAAAAACTTGGGAGAAGAATCTTTTTATACTAGTAACTCATACTCTTATGATATTTTTAAACTTATCCTATATATATATATATATATATAAAATTAAGAAAAAAATTATATATATAATATAAAGTTAAGAAAAAAATTACCATATATTCCGGCATATAACGCGCACTTTTAATGCAAAAAATAGCATTGGAATTTACGGGTGCGCGGTATATGCCGAATATAAAAAATTATGGATTAAAAAAAAATTAAATAGAGAAAAATACTTTTATTTTAAAGAAATAACATACCTTTACCTATATACTTTATTGATTTTCGTTATTACATAAATAGTTCATTATATTCGTCTTCCGTTATTTCTTCAGGCACGTCATTACAATCTGTTTTGTCTTCATCATGTGAGTTACCCTCATCCATAAATAAACAGTCATCTTCTAATCCGTCCAGATTATTTGAAATGCTGCATTTTTTGAATGATTTTCTAACCATCTCAGGCTTAATTTCATCTCATACTTTTAATATCCATTCGCACACTGCTTCCAAACTTGCATGACGCATATGTCCTCCTTTCGTAAAGGTTTTTTTGCCCTCCAACTTCCAAGTGTTCCACTGTTTTTTTTAAATTGACTTTAAATGGTTTGTTTAAGCAGATGTCCAATGGCTGACCTAATGGTGTCAATTCGCCCGAAATAACTGCCATATCGGTGTTACATTCTTTCAACAATTTGTTTGCATTATCTGTAAGGTGGGACCTAATCATGTCCCACACTAAAAGGCTTTCTGGTTTTCTTATGCAACCAGGAGAGATTTGCCAGACATTTTTTACCCACAAAATTTAAAAAAAGTAGTAGAAATTACAGGTGCGCGTTATACGCCGGAGTATATGGTATTATGCGCCGGAATATACGGTATATGCTTTAAATAAGTAAAAAAAGAGCAATATTTTTTCTATACGTTTTTATCAGTAAAGCTAAATAAAAGGTTAGGAATGATATTCATGGTTTAAAATTCGATTTTGAAATTTGAAAGATCAGTGAAACTAACAAAATGTTATCAGATTAGATCATTATTACATCCTTAAAAAATTCTTTTATTTTCAGTTAAAGGGGCTTTTGGTAGTTAATTTTTATTTTAGGCCTCTACGAACTTTCTCATTTTATTACTTCTATGCTCTTAAGTAGTTAAAGGTTGTGTTACAGTACTTTAAAATAATTATTCTCTATAATTTGATATGATCAAGTTATTGAAATTAATTTTGACTTTACATGCAGACTGAACGTAAGTAAGCACATTGTTTGAAAATGACATATTAGTATCTTTTCTAACAACCACTATTCCAATTTTGTGATAAACTGTTGTGAGAGGTCTCATTCCTTTCCTTTTGCTTTGTAGAATAAGAAAAAAGGTAGTAGACACCTTAGGACCTGCAAATACAAAGCTAAGATATGGAGTAAAATAAGCAGATATATTTAAACATTGCTAATCTAGACAAGTGAGGTATTGTTTCTTACGCATTTTTCATGATGAAAAGAATAAGATTGAGCCAGTGTCTATAGTGAAGAAGTTATGAATGTTTTATGAAAAAACAATAAAAATTTTGTTAATCAACGCATACATCGAACATTGCTATCTAGAAAAAAGACATATTCTTTCCTCTTTTGAGTATGTATTTATATATGCTAAATATTTAGGGAGATTAAAACCAATTCAATAGGACTGATAGTTAAAAAAATTTTTTTTTTGCATATAAAGTACAGTTTTGTATTTATTCCTATTTACACTGCTGATGTAGCTAAGATAAGCAGTTTATTGGATCCTCCTATGTATTTTTTGCACTCAATTGAATTAAATCAAAGCTTTGCTGATAAAATCATTCGTTTAAAATTTAATGGTTTCATGTGTAGAAAGAATGATTTTTGATTTTTACTTACTTACCTTATTGGCATTGATATTTGGACAAGTGAGGCATTACTTCTTTTATATACTAATTCCCCCAGTGAAGAATTACTAGTTTCATGTAGTATAAAATCTTCTTAACTTTTAACCCATTAGTTGGTCAGCTTGGTTTTATTTTCATACGATTCAAGGTAAAAAATGCACAGAATACATTATTTTGCTTATCTTTATAGTAATGTCAGAGGTTTAAAGCATGAGTATAAAACAAACTTCGTTCTTCATTGACTTTTGTTAGGTTCCATTCGATTAAGAAAATAAATTATATTTATTACATTACCTCTTTTGTCTTGATAGCAATATTTAAATGTAATCTCCATTTCCCCCCTCTCCACTCTTCTACCATTCCCTGTGGCAGGTCCCTAATATCAGCCATTGTTTTTCTTTTGGGACAGTGCATTAGGAAACAAAAAATGAAAATACTTACATTACTCAATCATAAAAATGTAGAAATGTGTGATTTTAATTTTTGAACCTTACAATATCAAGAAATTAATAATTTAAGTTTGACAGCATTTATTTTAGTTAATGAAAAGAAAATGCATTCTAGGATGATAAAAAAAGAGACTAAACTAGAGCTCCGCTTAGATTTAAACTAGTTTGTAAAATTTCATGTTATTGAACTTTTTGAAAATCCATTTTACATAATGTTATGATGATTCTGTTTATTTATTTATTGTATTAAATGTAATTTTCATTTTTATGAAATATAAATTATGTTAAAAGTTTGTTCTTTTTTTTTCCAACCTGAAACTTTATGTAAATAGAACTGGAAATCCTGTAAATGTAAATAAGTAGACTTCAAAATTTGAAAATTTATTTTCAAACATTGAAAAAATGAATTATTTTATATTAATATTTATTTTTGTATTCATTTGTTCTAATTTTAGGCAGATGAACAAACACATTTATTGTTATGCGTTGAAGCATTACTGTCTTCTGGAAATAAAATTGACCACAACTGCAGTGAATTTATTTTTACCATATTGTTATCCGTAGCTGGTTTGTCAAAAATTGACACTATTATTCAAAAGGTTGGCTTTTCAGTGCTTTGCTGTTACTGCTTAGTATTATATATTTATGTAAGAAATATTTGTTGCTTGTTATCAAACAAAAGGAGTTATTTAAATTCAATTATTAATTTGATTATTTTGGGATGCTATTTACATGGCTTAAGAGATACATTGAACCATTTTATGTTTTCAATATAGTTAATTTTTATACTTTATTATTATTATTATTTTTTTTTTTGCTCCTACATATTAATATTCTATCATATTATTTCTTTTATTAACTATAGTTTGCTGTGTGCAAGCATACTCAAATAAAGCTTCTTATCAGTGGATGTATAATTTGATTCTTAAATATCATAATCACATTTTAGAAGTACATCATTGTTCATCTTCAGGAAATGTGAATTCATATTTTAGTTTCTTTCCATTATAACTTTTATCTACAACATTTTACAGGCATAAGCCTAAGGTAACAAAGCTTTTAACAAGTGTATATTTAAAAAAATATCTTAATATATTATCTTCTAGACCTGGAGGAACATTTTTTTTTTTGCTGTAAAAATTTCAATTAAGTGATCTAGAAAAATATCTCATATAAAGCAAATTTATTATCCTTGATTTGCTATCAAGCATTCAGTTTTCATTGAAATATTAAAATTAATCAAAAATATATGTATTGGATTATGTTTAAGTGAGAACAACACAGTAGAAGCCTATAAAAAAGGATTTTTTAAAAAGAATTTTGAAATTAATCTAATACATTTTCTTCTGTTATTGTAGATAGTTTAATCTTTATTTCATCATGTTTTCAAATACAAAAATTAAAAAAATTAGCACTTATTTAATACAATGTTTATAATGTATTTTCTTAATTATCCATAACTTGCTGTACTCAGAGGTATTTTTTAGAATTGATTTTAATGAGTCTAAATCAGTGGTTCCCAACCTGGGGGCGATCGCCCCAAACGGGGCGATAGAGCTCCTCAAGGGGGCGATAATTCTTAGGGGGGTGATCGGGGGGCGACGCATATTCAAAAGATAAAAATTACTAATAATTGCTAAAAATTGCTAATAAGACAAAAGCTATTTGAGATCGAAATTGAAAACATATATGAAGCTTATGGTTCTGGTGTAGATAAAGAATTACGATAGTTAAAAATTAAAACATTTCAAGTTCGGGATCGTTTTCGTCATTCGTTTTGGTATCGCTGGCGGAAATCTGACCTTCAAGAATTCTCTTTTGTTGAAAGTCATGGTCTTTTATATACCTTCTTCTCCTCAAATGTTCCTCTCTCGTCTCATTCCCATCCCCCTGATTTTAGAAGGCATGTAATAGGAGAAACTGATTGATAGACGAAACATTTATGTAACTCTGAACCTCACACAATTGGGTAACTTTTATTTTACCTGTTACTAAAAAAATGTTGAAATCATGTTGTGTGAGGGATCGAGTAATAGGATAAAACCTCTGAGCAATAATACTGTTTCCAGGCTTATTGATGAGATGGCCGCAGACGTTGAATCAAAACTCATCAAATTTATGAGAGAAGGTAAATTTGCGTTGCAGATTGGTGTCTCAACTGTGATAGATAACAAAGCTATTGTATTAGCTTACGTGAGATTCATAAATGAGAGTAAGGAGATTGGATGAACGAGGAAATGTTGTTTACAAGAACTTTGATCACTGATACAAAATGATCGTAGATTTTTAAATTGGTCAAAGACTATTTTGTGGAAAAAGAAATTCCCTTTACAAATGTAAGTGCTTGTGCAACGGATGGTGCTCCTGTCATGTCTGGTCGTCATACTGGGCTTCTAGCTCACCTTAAAAAAAAAAGTACCGGAGGTCATCACCATTCATCGTGTCTTTCAACGTCAGCATTTGGCTGCAAAAAAGTTGAGTGGTGCCCTGCATGAAGATTTCGAACGCTCGCTCCTACATACAGATGTGAGATGGCTTTCAAAAGGAAACTGTTTGCGTCGTTTTTTCAAATTGTTTAACTCGGTTACTGAGTTTTTTGACGCCACTGATTCTGCTTTAAGTGAGAGTTTGAAGCAATGCAAGTTGGAAACTGCGTACCTCACGAATATTTGTGAAAAAATGTACGAAATCAACGTGAAACTTCAAGGAAATAAAGTGAACATTATCAATGCTAAGGGAATCATATCTTCATTCATCGCCAAGTTTGATATCTACAAGTCAAACATTGTTTGCAAAGAGCTAATGCAATTTCCAACTCTTAGAAAGTGTTCAATGGCAGATATTGAGATTCTCAAAAATCAGCACGGGGCAGTCATTGAAGTGGTAAAAATGTACTTTCTCACTCTTCATTTTTTTCGCAAATTTTAGTTGCTACCGTTTTAACTTTTTCTTGATTACATTAAAATACAAATTTTAAAAAACGTGCTTTTGTTTTGATTATTCCGTTTTAAATATCATTTCTTTTTGAAAAAAAAAAGATTGCATAAATTTTTTTTAATTAATAAAAATGGCAGGATAAAATTGCCTCCTTATTTGCATTACAATTTAAATTAAAATCAAATATAACTTAGCGTTTGGTTGCTCACTAGCAGCAATGAATGGTTTATGAGCAAAAAGAGAAAGGGGCGATGGTCCACAAAAGGTTGGGAACCACTGGTCTAAATTAAAAAGCAAATATTTCATATTTTGTTTTTCGAAATCTTTTTACGAAAGAAAAATAATTTAAATTTTCAATGTGTTCAAGCAAAACAGTTAATTTTTTCAGCTAATAAGAAAATTGTTTTCGAGAAAAATTAGAAATTTCTTTAATAATCATTTATCTTTGTTAAATATGTGATGATTAATGCTCAAACAGTTTGAGTGTCAGAAAAAATTAATATACTTTTTATGAGACATATTTTTTGCTTAATAGTTTCATCAACCTTTAAAATATAAGGTTTAATTTAATGACTCTTCTAGTTTGAAAACACTATGTCAGGAAAAGATGGTGAATCATTTAAACTATATGTAGGAATTAAAATGCATTTAACAGCACTTAGCAATAATACTAATTAATTGTAGGATATCATGTCAAGACGTTTACTTATTTCCATATCTGAATAATATTTATATGTCAGTGAAAAATAAACCTATTTTTTTTTGCATTCTATGCATGATTGCAATGGTTCTATATTCTTATGTATTTTTTATTATCTCTTGTTCAGGCAGAAGAGCTTTTAGTAAAGCTGGCTGTTGTTCAGTCATATACTGTGCCTTCTTTATTTGAAAAACATTTGCTTCCTTTCCTGAAATCATTGACTTCCAACTATGAGTTGTGGAATCTTCAAAGCCCAGAAATGCCAATTTTTAATTATTTATTGCTCTCAGGTAAATTCAAAATATGTCTTTGAAATATATCTTCAAATATCTAAATAATAGTTATGAAAAAGTTTTACATCCATCTTTTTTAATTTTAGACCATCTTTATCCAGAAGCAATAAAAACTGTTATTCCTGTTTTTCTGAACAATCTTCACCCAAGCAAAGATGCCAGAGTTCGAAGCATTATTTTATCCTTAATCTCACCAACATTGAACTGTTTATCACCAACAGAATGTGAGGGTATGTCAGAAGATATCCTGACACTCATCCGTTCAGGTATTTTTCCCAACTTGACCTGGATGGCTGGAAAAACTGCTTCCAAGCTGAGAACATTAGCAGCGGCTAGTTTATTTGAGATTGTTGGGAAAAGTTCTAATCCAGCTTTAGTAAGTTTTTTTTCTTTTTTTTATAATTTCTGTTAGTCTTGTCACTTAAATTACCTTTTTTGTTATTAGTTTACTCAATATACAGAGGATTTATATTCAGTTGGTTTGTTTTCCTCGCATCTCAGTTTCAAGAGATTTTATGTTTTATGATTATGATCTTGTCAGAAAAGTGGCAATAGTGTGTCAATACAGAGGATAACTAAAAATTAAGATATCAAGTGATGCATTTTTCAGTTTTTTGCTCTGTAAGAATGATGCTCATTTTCTAAACATTTCTATTAACCAATCTCTTTTTTTTAAAATATATAAATTAAAAATTTTTTTTTTAACATTTCTTTTTTCAGTGAGTTGAAAATTAAAAATATTTTTTCTTTTGTTTTCTAATTCTCTGTTTATTATTTTTTTAAGAAAATACACCAGGAGCATTAAATTTTCTTTATCATAAACAATTCTCGTCAGTTGTAACATATTTCATTTCACAAAACAATCAAAATTATGCCTAAAAATAGGAGCTACGGTGATTGTTTTTTTTTTAAAAGTAAAAAAGACTTAATATAAACTAAACTAATATAAATAAGTATTCATATATAATAAGAAGTTCGATGAAACAAACTCTAATTTCTTTTCTATTTTACTTTTTGAATAGGAAAGAAGAGTTATAACGAAGATATAAAATAGAAAGTTATACATTAACACTTCGTATAATAATAAAAATGAATTTGCAATTATCTACTTTTATCAGAAGTATCAAAATTTTTTATACATATTATGTTTAAAAGGAAGAAAAATTAGCTGTTAATTTAGTTTATACAGGTTTCTTAGAAATTGCTATTTTACATATTTTCATTCATTCATTTATTAAGAAATGGTTATTTTTGGGCAATAAAAATATTTGGGTAACCTTAAATAAAATTTAGATCTTTAAAAAGTCTTAAAAATGCTACATGAATTTTAAATTTTGTTTAATCATAAATTATGTTGCAAAATTTTTTTTTTGAAAATATTTTTTTGTGGAAGAGAATGTTTCATTTTTGAAATATGCTTGTTTTTCTACAAAACTATAGCATAGTCTGTATAAAACTTTAAGAGCTTTCTTTTTTTACTTTAAATTTTCATTTTAAACTTTAAATTGTTGCTATTAAATATTGTAGTTAATTTTTTCATAAATAAAAGTCATAGTAAGAATTAATATGCTCTTTAGTTTATTTAGACACATTGAAAATATGATTTTCTAAGTTGAATTAACTATTTTTGTACAACCTTTGAATTGTTTTTATTTATGACTTAAATAAATTACAGTTAAACTCATCTATAATAATATCATAAGTCTCATTACAGCTTTCATGTTAAATCAGAGAGCTCATTAAATCTGTGTTGGCAGATGTTATCTACAGAAATTAACTTAAAAATATAATAAGCTAAATTTTTTTAAGCGCATGAAGTCAACTTCGTCAACTTATGATGAAAATAAAATTGTATTTTTTGCAACTCTTAAAAAGTTTCTTACTAGTACTAAACTAACTTAATACTACACAAAAAATAAGATAGTCAAAAATTTGGTAGAAACATATATGATGATGCCTGGGCAACAGAATGTAAAATTTATTCAATGATTTGTGTGGCACCATCTTATGTTTGTGCTAAACTGGTTGTGTAACAAGATCCATGACAAAGTTAGTTGAGGAACTTCAATCTTATCTGCATATAATATTTGTATAATTTAAACTTATGGAAGAAGAAGGTTTTACCTCTTTTAAGTTAAAGAAAGTTTTCAAAAATCAGAAAGTTTTTCTGACAGCTTTAATAAAATAGTTGTTTTGAAATTACAGAAAATTTCTTACTAGATTAGAATTTTAATCACAACAAAGTTTTGTTTTAATCATAACAACAAAGTTTTTAGCATTTTACGAACAATTTCTTTTTAAAACAAATTTGACCCCAAAGAGTATTTTTAAATTAAAGCTTTGAATGTTTGTGTGGCCAACTTTGACCATCATTATATAAAAATATTAATTTCAGGTTAAACATTTGGGAGATGAAATACTTCCCATTCTTGCTACATTAGCTGATGATGATGAAACTACTACTCGACTTCTATCTTGCAAAATTCTTGAGTCGATTTTGCCTCTTGTGAATGATTGCATTGATGATCAAAAAATACACAATACCTGTTTCCAGCTCTTACGTTGCATGGATGATGAATCTGATGATGTTCGTATAATGACTGTCAGGGTTCTGAAAGCATATGTTAAGTCATTCCCTAGTGACTATGACTGGAACATGTACAAGGCTCATGTAAAAAGCATATACGAGAATGTTTTAATCCACATGGATGACAAAAATGAGAAAATTAGGCAAAGTGTTTTGAGTAAGTATATTATTTCTAGTGTACAAAAATAACAACAACTTTGGTTTTTCTAATTTTTAGAACATCTAAGAAATGTTTTTTTTTCAATGGATGAAATTTGAACAATATTTTAAATTTGTTCACAATAATTGTATGCTCTGAAAATCTATTGTTATATTCAGTACCCTTTTTTGGGAGGGGGGAAGAGGAGGATTTCAATTTTCATTATCAAAATTTGTAGAGCTATAAGGGAAACTATACTAATTGTTTCCCAATTTTAACATTTCTTTTTAATATATTTTTATATTTCTCTACAGATTTTAATCCTATTTAAGGTAATTTTGCTCTTAATCAGTAATAATTTTTGTATCCGAGTTCATGCAAGCCTCGGTTACATATACTCGTACTCACGTATGGTTAACTGAGGCTTACACACAACTCAGTTACATTCAGTTCCAAAAATAAATATGTTGGTTTTGCAATTATATTTTATTCTTCTTTATCCCAAAAAAACTATTGTATTATTTTAATATTAGGGGGAAAAAAACAGAAATAGTACTTTTAAAATTGTCCCAAAATAATAGAGTATTAATATTTGTTCGTTTTAATAGTTTATTGTCGACAGACATTTGTATTTTGAATTCAGAAAGAATTCAATATCGCATTATTTTTTTGTTCCTAAGCAAAACTCAACTGAAACCACCTACTATAAAAGATTTGAGAATTGCCCTATTTTATATCAGTGTTTATAAATATTAAAAAATATTTTTTTTGATAAATATTGAATTATTTGTAATTCGTCATTCTCCTTTAGATCTGCTGAAAGACATAGGATTTGCTGCTCCTGATGTGCTTTTGGATGAAGTTGAATCAAAAAGATATGTAATGTCTGCAAATGATCTTTGTGATAATTTGATAGCACATATCAAAAATATTAAAGTTTAAGTTCATTTTCATTTGTAAATAAATAATTCATTTTAAGTTTCATGCAAAAATATTGATTTTGTACAATTCACACTCATCATCACAGACATTTAAAAATGTAGTAGTTCTTGCAAAGGTTATTAATCTTTTTAAACATAAGCTTTATAATATTTTGTGAAGAAAAAAAAGTCAATGAAATAAAAAAAGTTAATGAAATAAAAAAAATGTTTTAAAGACTCAGTTATAAGGAACTATGTTTTATGTGGGCTTGTAATATTATTATAGAATTATTCTTACAATCAAAATTACACGTTACATAAACACAGTGGAACATAATTCCATAAGCGTTAATGTGAAATAATTTTTGATTCCCCATTAAATTGTATATGAATATCATGATTTTAAGTACATAGGGGCAGGGCTGTCTATCTACCTACCTACCCCAAAAAAATACCATGTAAAAAAAAATCCAATAAAACTCACATTTAAGTGGTTTTTAAGAAATGTAAAAAAAAGATGAGTTGGTTTGCCAACATTTTTTTTCCTGTTATTACTACAGTTATTATAATTTCACACATTTTTAAATATTTTTATATAATTATTTTATAATTTTTAAGCAAATAATCGTGATTACATACAAAAAAGTTGAGCAAAAGTCTTTAATACATTTTTGCAAATTTTCTATTTGTGGAAACATATTTTATTTTAAAGAATAAAAAATATTTTAATCTAGCAATAATGGAACACTCTTTGTATTTCACCAAAATATTTTAATCACAATGATATCACATAAAATTAGTTTTATAAGAAAATTCTGTAATGTGCATTAATGATATACCGTCAAAGTAATAATAAAATGAATGCCATGTTTAGTTAAAAGTTCTGTAATAGTCTCTTCTGGTTCTATCTCACTCGTTAAATGTTTATAAACTTCAACAAGCTTTTACAGGTCCCACTGTTTCGCAGTTTGGACTTGATGGATAGATGGATTTAGTAATAACTTAGATGGATTTAGAAATAACTTATAACTTTTTGATATTCACAGTATGAGTTTATGGAAAGAAAATATTTTCTGGGATTAAAAAAACAACTTCGATTTGTGCGAGATTTCTTTCTCTAAAAAAGAATTTTTGAACTGAAAATACAAATAAAATGCCATGTCCCTTTGAGTTCATGTTACCATTGTTCGATTGTACAAAGGTAAATACTGCCTCATATGGAAAAAATATATCAATTACTCCTTTATTTTTATTTATAAAAATAAAGAATTTCATAAACATGTATAGAAATATTAATTTTCATAAAATTATTCAATTTGAAGTAATCTTTTTAATTATGCTGATGAAAGTTTGATGTTTGATCTGCTGTTTTTTTCCATTCAGTAAAAACAGTATTATCATTTCTATAATTGCCAATTTGCAAATAACAACAGTATTTTTAGTTTTGTGACCATGTCTCTCAGTTCAAGAGTCATAACTAAGGTAACAACTAAAATTTTTGACTGCATATAAGTTAAAAATCTTTAAATTTAAAGACTGTCAAGTATCATGATAACTAAGATAACAAAAATTTTAATAGCATGTAAAATGTCTGATCAGGTATTAGAGCAATTGATGTTGCTAAAATGATGAAGCATATTTAAAATAAAATTACATCTGTTTTAAGTAAAATGCTAATTGTTGAAAAACTAGTTTGACATACATAAGTAATACATATTTGAAACTTTTTCTCTGAAAGTTTTAGTGAACACTTTTAAAGTAAATCCAACAATTTTTATTGCATTCACTATCTTGATAAAAAAATAATTGATAAGTTTAAAAAAAACAAAAAAAAAACAAGCTTAACTTGATGTAATAAGGAATTTAACTTTTTTATTATAAAAATTGGTGTAAGAATCTATGCATTTGTAGAAGTTTCAGTCCCTGTGAAATAGTCTTCAAAGTATTTAGTTTAAGAAATAGCAAACAAATAAGCAATGAAGCTTTGTATCTTTATCTCTGATCAAGAGTTATATCTTGGCTAAGCATGCAGGATTAGCTTGATAGTGGATGAGAATGACTTATAAAACCATGCATAATATTTACTTCCTAATACTTTTCACAATTTTCTAAGCAAGGGGAATTAAAAGACATAAATCAAGGTTGGATTTCTGATGTCAAAAGTTGGTTTAAAGTGCCAAAAGCTGATTAAACAGTCAAAAACTGGGATGATTGTCATGATGTTCAAATAAATGTGAGGTTCATTATTCATAATATATTTTAATAATAGATATATGGTAAATAAAAAGTATACACTTGCGATGAATACAGTCTAGTCACATTAATTTGCTACTACCACCACCTACTTTTGACATGAAGATGAAACAATCAGGAAAGGCAGGTGGCAGCACATCGCGGTGGAGCATATATAAAGGGTGTCTGAGGGAATTGGAAAACTATGCAATCGTAAGCGTGATGCCGAAATAGAGTAGTTCTCCAACATCTAAAAGGGTATGATCGTTGGCTTTTGGACCAAGGGTGGAATAATTTTTAAAACTGCTAATTTTATAAACTGTCAACATGCTGCTGAGGTAAAAATATGCTGTGGATGTCAAAATGGAACTATCCAACAAAACTATGTGGTGCAGACTAGGCTAATGTGGTGCACCATAGGCCATAGATGACAGAAATGAACGACAGCGCGACTAAGCGAATATACATGCACCCGTTGAACAACTGACCATCCGGACGAGGGGGTTACCAACAGTTGTCTCCTCAACAATGGTACAGGGAACATTGCTGCGTGTGGGTCTCAGCAGCGGACGTCTGGTTAATGCCTCTGCTGACAGCTATTCATCATTGACAAAGGCTGAAATTTACATGCCAGTACTACAACTGAATGTCTACTGGATGGTGAAAGGTGGCTTTTTCCGACGAATCGTGCTTTATTCTCAAGACAGATAGTCGTTGGTGTATACGCCATTTAAAAAACTGAAAGGAAATTAAACATCCTGCAACAATATCTTAAAGTTTAAAGCTGGAAGAGGGATCATTGTGGTTTAAAAAATGTTTTGTGGCATTCTCTGGGAGCACTCCTCAGTGTGTCATCTGTCGTTGGAATAAACATGGGAATTGGTTTTCCTTTAATTTATCAGTAGAAATATGCGAAATGTCATACAGCTTGCAGTATAAGTGCATAGTTCAAAGAGCACCAAGATGAGTTTACCATCCCTGGACTTTAACCCAATCCAGAATCTATGAAACCACCTTGATCGGTTTTGTTCGTGTCATAGATCCTCAGCCAAGTAACCCAGGGCAGCTGTTCACTACACTGGAGTCGGCATGCTTCAACATTTAAGTGAACACCTCCAGGAACCTAATTGACTCACTTCCTGCAGGTCTGTATTGCAAAAGATGGTTATTCTGGCTTTTGGTGGTCTGTCACATTAATGTGATATAACTGTATAGTGATTATCGATGAAATGGGTCGCGTTCATTTTAGCTACAATCACTTCATCGATCAGATCATTTGGTCGACAGAATCATTTCGTCGACATGACCGTTTCATGGACAGGGTCGTTCCGTCGACAGGGTTATTTTCATTGACAATTTGTAGAAATTGTCAATGAAAGGCACAATTTGTAGACAAATTGTTTGTATTTCGTAGGCAAAGTCATACGTAATTTTGAAACTATTTTCATGATTTTTTGGATCACTCGTTATGCCTCTTGCACTTCGTAATTTAGTATATTTGTGTTGAAATCTTTTAAATCTAGCCTGATGCAAAATCTTTATAGTATGTTGAAGTTGCGAGAAAAGATGCCTTTTATTTGAAAACTGCCTACTTTTATTCACATCACGTTGCAAAAACGAAACCTTTTTACATTACAATTAATTGTATTTTACAAATTTTTTTTCTAGTCATATTTAACACATTTATTTCTAAGATTAATTTTTAATGTGCATTATTGTAGATGAAATTAGCAAAAGCAATTTTAATAACTATTGTGAATGATTATTGAAGCAGGGAGTGAATGAAGGAAAAAATTAGCAAAGGAAAAAAAAACAAACAGTATATAATGAATCAGTGAGATAATAAAACCACTTCGTCGATAGGTCATTTCATTGACAATGTAGTTTCGTTAACAGGCTATTTCGGAGGCAAAAATTCTTTGGCAATAAAAAGAAAATTATATTTGATGTTCCTCTATAATGAATAATTCGCATTAATACAGTTTAAAATCTTGTCAAAAAGAACTTCGCATTTCGCTTATTTTATTTCTTATTTATTAATTATTTATACGCTCTAATGTTAAATAGTTTTATTAGATCCCCTATATGTTTCCCAAACATTTATAAGCTCTTTTACCTTATAAAATAGACATCGTTAATGTAAAAAAAAAGAAGGAAAAACCTCAAAATAACTCCACATCCCCGGTATGCAATGTAATCGAAAAAATATAAAAAATAAATTGTTCCATGAGTTCCAAATCAGAGGAAGGGAGGAAAACTGTCTAATTGGTTTTTATAATTTAAACATTTAAGGAAAAAAAAAAAGGAAATAATTACGTTTTAACAAATAAATTGACTTTATCATTGAGGAGAGTTGTCCATATGCATCTGATTTTATTCTCATTAATGTTTAATTAAAAATAGGTTTAGGAAACTTATTCTTTTACCCAAATATTAAAATGTTTTGATTTTTGCCAGATAATACAAATTTATTTCAAGTAATAAAACTTGCAATGGGAGTATATATTTTAAAGGAGAGCACTAACGAGAGTCCTTTTCGAAAGTGTAATCGGAAATTGAAATGTTTTTAAACATTATGTTTGATAAGTGTACTAAAAAAGAAATGTTAATTTTTGTCACCAAAATGAAAAAAAGGGGTATTTTAAGTGGTGTTTGAAGTTTATTGTAAAATTTTGCATTCGTAGTTTTTGCTATGCGTGAAAATTTTTATAAATTTATTTTCTCATTTTTAGTCTACTGAACAAACTTGATTTTTTAAAAATATATATACATTTTTTATTGTATAAACTTTTTTCTACATTTTAGTTTTGAGTCTCCTGGTTTATAATTCTGCTTATAGTGGTCAGAAAGAGTTTGAAAATAGTGTTTTCATCCTGTGCAGAAAACCAGTTAAAAATTTGAGCACTTAAACTAGTCAAAAAGTGGTCAAAATTTTAATTGCAAGATTTTTTTTTTGTTTTTTAAAGAGTAAAAGTTATTGTTCGTACGCTTCAATTCCAGGTTTGATTTTTTTGTTAATTTTATTTTAAATACTATAATGTATCTAATTTAAATCCTGCAAATGAAAAGGAATTAATTCCTCACTTATTTACTACTATTATTATTTTGAAAATTCACTATCCATAGAATTTTTTTTTTTGTGAAGAGCAAGCACTAACACGCTTGAAACGTTACGCCTGTGTTTCTAAACATTTATGGCCCATTGAGCAGCACTTCAAATATTGTAAGAGTCTGCAACATCCGCCTCAGTAAATACCTAAACATTATATTTGCCTTCCTATAGTTCTTAGAAAACTCTAATGGTGGTAACGAAACTTAGACTAAGTTCGAATAAGCATATTTATTCAGCCTGTCCTAATGTTAAAAGATGCTGAATAAAAGATTTTAAATTGCAATTAAAATAAACATCAAGAAATTACTTTCCACCATAAAAAACCTAGATTTTTTAAGGGGGGGATTTAACAAATTTGTGTTTCGTCTTGTAACTACTTATAAAAATGTAACACATTTTTTCCGTCATGCCAAAATAAAAAATTTTTGATTGATAAAACATCAGAAATATTCCATTTGTCTACTCTTATCTCATGTTAACACTCCCTTATGTGTTTTGAAATTACTTTTTTTAAAATTTTCTTGCAAGATACCATGCTAATCAGTTTAGTTATGCGTATATAATTATTTAAGGCTTATGATTATTTTCATTGCTGTGGAAATTACTCTGAAGTCTATGGTTTTGTTAAAGTGTATTTAAAAAAGTTGAAAATTTTTATAGCAGAAAATTTAGTCCCAAGCATGTCCGACAAGAACTCTATGAAGAAATCAGTACATAGTATTTTGACTGAAATTGGTTGAAACAGGTCTATTAACAGGTTATGTCGGTCACATAATCTAGCACAAAAGCTACATGACTTGACATTTTTAAAAACAAACAATTTTTGATATTTTTTCAGGCAACTTTCTTACTATTTCTTTAGAAATATAATGTCTTGTTTATTTGAAAATATTAAATGAAAAGACTTCATTCATTGATTTAAAAGAAACTTAAAAAATATGTTAAAACAAAAGGTCAAGTGTATCTGTTTGGATATTTTTATCTAATGGATGTAACTTGTTATAAATATAAATATGTTTAAAAATAATAAGTAGATAGGTTAAAATACTCAGTATACACTTAATTTATTCCACATTGAATAAGTTACACAGTTCCAGAAATATACATGATAATCATAAAACAACTTGAAAAACAAAAAATGAGACAAGTTCTCATGGACCAAGATTTACATTAATTTCCAGTTGCATCCGCACATCCAAAACCATGAACCATACAGTCAATAAAACTGGAAGTCTAATACGAGACTCCCATGCCAGACCAAAGAAAAAGTTTAAAAGATGAGATAAACTTTTAAACATATTCAGATATTTATGATTCAGTACATCCTCTGAATTGTGAACCCTATAATATAAAATACTAAAATTAGTGCAATAACAAACAATATATAATGATTGAAAACGCAAAATTAATTGCATACTGAAAATATTTAATAAAATATACTGAAAATAGTTATTGAAAAGGATAACATGATACAGAGTTAGTCATTTCTATCTAATAGTTCATTAAGCATTGATATTTCACGATTAATAAATGCCCGACTTTATATCTGGTGAACAAGTGACGGCCTGATTTTCGTCAAATTTAGGGGGTTAAAAAAGTCGACTTATACACCTGGATGTACGGTATGAACTGGTTTGCCCAGGGTGGTTATGAGTTCTAATTTTCAAGTAGGCTCTGTTCTGCAATGTTTATAGATCAAAGTGACAACAACTAGGCAAGTACCTGATTGTTGCCAAAATTTGGTGATTTTTTTTCTCCAGGTACCGATTTGGAAATCCTTCCTGCTAAATTTGTTTTATATTTTTATTAACTTTATGCATTGAAAAACATAAATGTTGGTTAAGATTTTAATAAAGTTATTGTTAAAATTATAAATTTAAAAGGAAATCTTAAAATTCAATCTGCTTTAGAGTACTTACTGCAAATAACGAAAATATAAAATTTTAAGTAAAAGCAGATAAAATTTCAAAATTCTAGTCTTACCCCTTTATATTAAAGCAGTTCATAAAAATTACTTTAAAAGAGATTGTCATAGAACTAAATTTAAATTATTTACGTATGAAGTGCATGTGCTACAAACTTTTGATTGTTGAAATGTATATATGTATGAACATGTTTATTTGGTCATTTATTTCATAGTTTGTTCTTTTAATGAGTAATAATTTCTTTTAATGTATATTTCAGGAAAAATCATGGATTATTTAAACTGTGATGAATTTGAAAAAGCTATTTCTTAAAGACTATTCAAAAAGCTATTTCAAATACTATTTGATCACTCTCCAGTTGTTTGGCAAGCTGCTACTGAGGTTGCTGGTTGCATGATGTTAGAATTAATAGAAAAATATTCATATTTTCCTCGTTTAATACCCATAATACTCTCAATTTTATTTGATGAAGTTCCTGAAGTTAGGTAAAACATCTTTTCTTGTTTTTTTGTTTTCTGATTAACATTAAAGTTCATAAATTGGTATTAATGTAGTAATTAAAAACTGCATAATATAAAGAATAATTATTTTAAGATTTGTTTAAGATTTCTTACATTTTAACATTTGTTAAATTTCTTTCTAAAAGTACATTTTTTACCTTCTATATTAATTTAAGGAATCTCTGAATGCCAGCTGTTCTGCTTTTTATCTGATTCTGCTGGTGGGGGAGGGAGGTTGCATCTCCTCCTTAATTTGTTTTCTTATGGCATCTTATTTATATTTTTTTCTCACAAAATGTGGTTATTTTAGTTTTTTTTTAATATACTGGCATGCTTGAAAGATGCAATTGAACGTTAAAATTTTTTTTTTTGTAACGTGCTTTGTGTTACAAATTTTTTTTTTTAAAGAAAACTATTTTATAAATTTTTATTTTTTAACTATTGTCACATAGGTCTAAAGTAAAAGAATTGTGGCATAAATCTGACAATCAATATCTGAAGGAAAATGACAAAGATTATAAAGATCTTAATTATCCTAATGCAGGTATTTTTAAATGAAATTTTCTTTTCAATACAATACATAAAATATTGGCTAATTATTTCAAATATTAAAAAAAATTTAATAATTTTTAAAAAATTTATAGTATTTTGCCTAATGACGAAGATATTTTTGTCACTTAAAAGTGATATGGTAGCATACTTTTTCTCGAGATTAAAAATTCATTTTGTTATTGCATTATGCATTACTGTTTTTCTGTTCTAAATAATATGTTTAATAATATGTCTAAATAATATGTTTTTTGTGGGCATTTTCTGAAATTGAATATTATAACTCTAGATTCTCAATTAGTTGCTAAGTAAAAAAATATCGGTATAGTAAAATAATTTTTTAGTCTCTCTCTATATAAAAATGAATGTCTGTGTCCTTTATAGACTTTTAAACCGTCTTACTGAAAGCTATGAAGTAATTGAGTAGGCTCTGTTCTGCAATGTTCTTAGACCCAAGCGACGACAACCAAGCAAGCACCCAATTGTAGCCAAAATTTGGCGATTTTTTTTTTCAGATAGCAATATTAAAATCTTCCATTTTAAATTTGCTTTATATTTTTATTAACTTTATTATGCATTGAAAAACATCAATCTTGATTAAGATTTTAATTAAGTTATTGTTAAAACCATGAATTTAAAAGGAAATCTTCATGAGCATCTATAATTTTATTTTATGTACATAATTTTACATAAATAATCATAAATTAATAAAACAAATTAAATGAGATGGTAATTCTGTATAGTAATTGAGATGTCTTTATTTTAAATTTAATCAGTTTATGAGTATTTAGTGTAAATAAAGAAAATATTAAAATCTAAGCAAAAGCACATAAAAGTTTCCGATTATACTATTACACCTTTAATGCAAAAAAAAAAAAAGACTACTCTGAACAGATTTAGTTTATTCAAAGATAATTTCCAGCGAAACATAACTTTCAGTAAATATTTATTATTTTTTATTAATTTATATATTAGTAATCAAAAAACATTTGAATTTGAAGTTATAAAATTTTTGTACACAATCTTGAAAACTGTCATTTTAAATGGCAAAATACAAAATTGATTGACAACTGCATGAGAAATCGAACTTGAGCATGAGAAAAGTCATATTTTTTCATGAAATAATCTTTGGATAAACACCTCGTGACCAAACTATTAAGATCATATTTTCAGATTGCGACTACCCTGTATTTTGGGTGTCAGAAATCCGAAACCATCGAAAAAAAATTATGTTTATTCAGAGAGTGTATGTTTCGATTTCTGATTTTGTAATTTTAAATATTACACTAATTAATTATCATATTTGAGATCACCCCTTTGAACTTTTAAGATTAAGTCCTAGATAGCGAAGATCTAATTAGTAAGTCAAAAGTCATCTTGAGTGGTCAGTTAATTTTTTTATGTTCTGTACTAATTAATTAGCATATATGAGATTATCCCTTCGAACCATTAAGACAGAGTCCTAGAAAGGGAAGATCCGATCATTAGATCAAGAGTTATTCAGGGTGGTCTGTTTTTCATTTCACTCACTGTACATTTTAATTATATTTTCAGTAGTAAACTTTAATCAGAGAGGCAGCTAGTGGGGACAAATGGGGGCATCTGTCCTTGGTGCTATTTGGAAAGGAAGCCAATTATAAGAAAAATGAACTGTAGAACAAAATTTTTTCTCTTTTAAATACACCCAGTTTTATTTGCTAATTACGAGCACCATAGCTTCTTCAAGTTTTTATCTGATTTACCTAAAAATTAAATTGGATGTTTATTATCATTATACAGTCAGTATCGGTTATATGGTCAGCTCATGGGTCCAGAATATTATGACCGTATAAGCGGTGTGACCATATATGCGATAACCAAATATATAGTATAGTTAATATGGCGTGAATATATTCTGGAATCAGAATGAATTTCTTAAANGGTGACCTTATAAGAGGGTGACCATATAGGCGGTACTGACTGTAGTTTGTTTAGCATTCATTTTTTTTTTTTACCAACTGGCAATATATTAGATGAAAAATATTTTTAGAAAAGTGATTCAAAAAATTAGTCAAAACCAATCACAATCAAAAATATCTTAATGCTTCAAGCACTGTTAAATTTTAAAGAGAAATCTAATGAAATTTAAAAAGCTAGCAAATTGTGTTGATTTAAAACACATTATTTAAAATTGCTTTAAATGTAATATTTTGCAATCCAGTGCCAAAACTGGGTAGATTTCAATAACGTGATCTGTGGCGGAATAATCATCAAGTCTTGGCAACTTCCAGGCAGAGACCTACGAGAATTTAAAAAATATTATAGAAAGTAACCAACTTAAAAGGTATGATACATATCTACCCCCAGGCAACCATATACATGTTTTTAAATTATTTTTGTTTTTTGGAAGTTTAAAATCTATTTGGGACGTTAGCAGTTGTAGCTGGCGCGACAGACCACGATACGGAAATATCCTTACTAACTCAAAGGGTATAACTCGTATCGGGGGATATTTCCGTATTATCATCTGTTGTGCCAACTACAATCGCCAAAATGCCAAATAAATTTTAAACTTGCAAATTAAAAAACAAACAATCATGTAGACGTTTGCCCAGGGGTGGTTACGAGTTATACCTTTCGAGTTGGTCCCTTTCTGTGTTTTTTTTTTAGCTTCCGGAAGTTTCTAAAACTTAGCGATTATTCTGACACAGATCAGGATACGGAAATCACCCCCTCGTAGCCACCCTCGGAATAAACATTCTCAAGTTTTTTTTATTAAAAATCAATTAGGCGCTTTGGCGATTGTAGCTAGAGTGGCAAATCACGATACGGAAATATCCCCTAACTAAGAAATGCTCATGTTATGTAGCTTGACAAGTGAGTAGGGTAGGGTATATTGACAAGGGAGAAAGGGGTAAAAAAATTTGACATAATTTAAATACTGATAACTACGAATTCATAAAGATAAAAAAAGCTAATGCAACACATTAATTACATTTATTTTGACTAGAACTCAGAAATTTTAACGTTTAACAATCAAATTAAGATAATTACGAAGAAAGCATAAATATATTGTTATCAAGATGACAGCCGCTTCAAATGGTTTCAGAAATAAGTACATCCAAAACTAGTATAAGTATTTTTTGATACATATTGTGACGCATATTAACATAGTACCTACTTAAATTTGTATGAATCCTTTCACAGTTTTGTTGCTGGAAGTTAATTTTTTTTATATGGAGCAAAGTATATTACACAACACAAAAAACAAGAAGTAGCAGGAAAACAAAACAACTTACGGAGCTTTAAGTAGAAATCGCAGTTACAGTTACGAAATTTTTCAGACCAACTAAATTTTCAAATTTACATGACATTAAAATTAAATATATTATTTTTCCTTCTGCAGTTTTATTTCTAATATTGAAACCTACCAAACTAAAATTTTTTTCTCAATGTAATCATATAATTTTTTTTTTAAAATTTTCTTTTACACTCTCTCAACTTATTATTCTTTCTGCTGTTGCCATGGTGATAAGTAGTTGTAAACAAACCACAATCTGCGTCTCCGAGGCCTCAACTTTGTAATAATAAAATTAAAATAACCTTATGTATTGAAGTACCAGCTTAAAGATACCCTTTTGTTCACATGATATATGGAAAAAAATTATCTTTTATTTAATTTCATACTTCTATCCTTGGTTTGTCACCTATGTGAATGGCTATTTACGAATTATTCTCCTTTCCCATAACACTCAAATACAAAGCTAGTTTGTGCTCATGTACTACAGCGTTTTATGTAATTACAGTATTATTAAAGTTTATTTGTCCATTTCTTCTAGCTTATTACACTCAAGGTTAAGTTTACTTTTTAGATAATCAAATTATATAATTATTATTAAGTAGTTATAAATAATTTTATTTTCATTTAGGTTAGCAATATTTAATTTTTAAGGTATGGCAGTGATTTCTTGCAGATTTATCCATATTGGTACATGTTCGTGATAACTACAATCGCCAAGATACAAACTGATTTAAACTTGCATAATTAAAAGAAAAAAAAAATAGTGGAGGTTTACCTGAGTGTGTCTATGAGTACTTCACTTTCCTGTTGATCTTTTGCTGTGTTATTTTTATTAATTTCTCATAGATCAATGCTTAGAATTAGTTGAGACTTGTTGATTATTTTGGATACTGATACAGACAGCTTCCCAATTTCTCTTAGTGTTTGAGAGTGTAATGCTTTTAATTTAGTTGATAAAATTTTGTCTTTGTTTATATCTTGATGAAGACTTGTGATTCTGTTTAATTTAAAATTTTTGATCTACCCTAATTTTTAAAGAGGAGTAAATTTTATTTTCCTTAACTTAATCTGCCATCCTTTTTTTAAATTTTTTTTTTATTTTGCTTGGGAAATGCCAAGTATCTTCTAATGTATGTTTGATTCATTCAGTAACCGATATAAAGTCTATGTTCGGGCTAGTGGTCGATCATTTGACCATTTATTTTAATGGTTTCAACAAATGATCATTTTTATAAGAAAGTAAGCATAAACAATCCTTCAGAAAAGTTACAGGTAAAATCCTAGAGTAATCCACCTATTGGCGACCTTTTGAAGTCTCGCCAAGTTAGCGATTATTACTGGGATCAATGTTGCTTTTTGATTATTAAAAAAACAATTTTAATTATAACAAATTTATGAAAATATTTTTTAATGAAATAAAAAATAACTTACCTTACTTACTCATTTGTTCTCCACATTTAGGGCATTCATACTTTTTCAAAATTTAATTTTGTTTCATACTCTATTCAATCATTGCTCTANATTATTACTGGGATCAATGTTGCTTTTTGATTATTAAAAAAACAAATTTAAATTATAACAAATTTATGAAAATATTTTTTAATGAAATAAAAAATAACTTACCTTACTTACTCATTTGTTCTCCACATTTAGGGCATTCATACTTTTTCAAAATTTAATTTTGTTTCATACTCTATTCAATCATTGCTCTATTACCTTTTGCATTCAATAAAGTAAAAAATTCACTCTTTCATTCGCACACCATTTTCAACCGGTACAGCACAAAAAAAATTAAATAAAAACGGTTTTAAATGAAATAACTGTTGAAAAATGAAATATTAACCATGATTCTAACAGCAAGAGATCAGAAGCATAAATGGCAAAAAATAAACCTTTTGCCTCTTTTCTAATGAAATACAATTTTCACGTAGGTATACATATCAAATAACCATTCAGGTTTAAGAAGTTTTTTTGCTTGATTGGACGTTCAAAATAATTTCCCCGAAATATCTTCTGGAAACCTAGTTTGGCGAGATTAAAAAAAATCGCCAAGGTGTGAGCTATTCTAGAATCCACCCAAGTTCCATTTAGAAATTGACTGCAAGCTTATTGTAACTTAATTTTCAGAGTGATATTTTTAAACACTTGATTCTGTTTTTATTGAAAGATATTATGAATTCAAATATTTTTCTGATATTTAAAACATTTATTCCATTATTTGAACCTAGTAAATATTAAGGCAATATCCTTTGGAGTAATTAAGATTTTGATACTCAGAAGAAGAGGTAATGTTGCCTAATTTTCTAAGAAATCTCTAATTTTGCTACCGTGATTCGGTTATGATTTTATTTCTGGTTTGTTGTATTATTGCATACATAGCACAGCTAGGTATATTTTCTTCATCTTACACATGTTTTTGCGAATGAATATTTATGAAATTATAATTTTGCTTGTTCAAACATTAAGCAACAAATTGACAGAAGTTAACAAGAAAATATAAGTTAGCAAATAGCGAGAGAGTAAACCAGATTCAATAGCTTGTTAGTTTTGCTGTAGGAAAAGAGTTCAGCCCCTTCTGTTATCAAAATCACAATTCATAATAAAGATTTTTATTCTTTTATAATTTTTAATTATTTTGCTCTTTTAGTTTTATCAAGCAGATACTAGTAACTTTGCTCTTTACTTTTCCATCTACGCATTGTAAGGCAAAAGTTGTTTGTTTTAGGAAGTTGTACTACCTTTTACAGTTGTAAACATTAGTTTTGTAATATCTTGCATGTCTATGTATGTTAACCTGAAAATGACAAACATAATTTCTTATTCATTAAGTAATATTCTTTTAAAATTGTAGGTTTCTGGCGGAAAGTTGATTTTTATCGAGAGCAACCTGATATCTCATTTAAGCACAAGATGCTTATCATTCTTGAAACTAAACCTCCAAATCAAATGATATTTTGGAGTACATATGAAAATATTAATGAAGTTATGAAACAAGATGTTTTTCAATCATTACCCGAAATAGAGGTAAAGCCTTTTTTCTTAAAAAAGAAAGATTACATTTGTTTAAACTATGCATATGAACAAATGGCGAACATAAATTTTGAAACTTTTTTTTAATGCCCTTTAGTCTAATGCACAAAATTCTATTTTTGTATAAATTCATAAATTCAATATTGCAATAAATAAATAACTACCTGCCTTATTTTTTAAATTGATGAATCATTAGGTTAGTAATTAATGGTTGAGCGGTATATTCTTAAATAAAGTTTATGTTAAATAAATAAATATTTAATTGTGCATTTGATTTAATTGTGTAGTCCATTTGAAAGAATATGTATAGTGCAACTTTGAGGAGAACTCCTCCAGACTGAAAGTTTGGGGCTGTCTGCTGCTATGGTAACAAGCGAGAGCACATTTCTAATGGGGATGAAATGGAGGAAAAAAGGTGTTGATTGGTTTACTCACGACGACCTACGCTAAGATCAAGACAAAACTATTCTTCTCGCACCCCTATTCGAAGTGACCTTTCCTCATAACCATAGTACCCCCCACGACGTGAGACGGGTGTATGGAGGAGCTCTCCTGAAAGCCGCACTATATAATTCAAAATTTTAGATATTTGAAATTTTTCCCCTGTCTCCTTTAGTTTTTTTCAAGTTTGATTGTATTAAAGTATTTCAAAAATTACTATTTCTTAAAAACCTTAAACTATAACACTTATTTGAATTCAGTGGCGTAGCGAGCTTAACTCGCGCCCGGGGCACAATACCCTTTTAGCGCCCCCCCCCCATTCGAAAACCATATAATATTATATGTAAAATATACTCGCAAATTAATAAAATAANGTGAGTAGCGCCCGGGGCATGATGCCCCCCTTTGCCCACCCCTCGCTACGCCACTGTTTGAATTGTAGTAATGCATGGATACAAAGCTATACTTCTTAAAAATATTCATTTCATTAATTATTTATGATTGAAAATAAGAATGTTATATCTTTAATAATAGCATAGAGAAGGAGATTCCAACAGAGATGGCATTAAAGATGAATTAGAAATGATGATTGATTTTCCACTTTCTAATCAAGAAATTATAGCAGCAAAAATCATTCTGATATTTGATTACAAGTTGTCAGTAAGTTAATCCTCTTTTGAAGTCTTTTTGATTGGCATTAAATAGTCTAATCAATTTTAAAAGTGTATTGATAAAAAATGTTAAAAATAAAATTCTAAATTTAATTAATAATAATTATTAATAATAATTTATAATAATAATAATTAATAATAATAATTTAATTCTAAATTAAATTATTTTTATAGCTTTATTCGCATTTCCGGATGGAATCTGCTGCTTTTATTCATCATAGTTCTTCTTACAATGGCTCTGAATTCATTGTAATGGGAGATTTAAGCTTGAACCAAAGAGAACCATTAAAACTTAGCGGAGAGGAAGAAAAATTCAATGTAACTAGTCTACTTTCTTATAGAATTCCTTTTTTTCTTAATTGTTTCGAATTGCTTTTACAAAATTATATTTTTGAAAAGAAAGGTAAAAAATCTCACGAATTTATATTACTGGCTCTTCCCAATTTCTTTTATGATCCAATTAAATGATTGATTTTGCCTTTTTTTTATATTTCATAAAATCTTTCTGATTTAATAATCTAACTTGAGAATAAATATAACTAACAATATCATTATTAAACTACTATATAATATAATATTAAAATCAATAAAATTTTAAAATTTTACTGCACAAGAACTTAACATGTGATTAAAGAAAGTTAAACTACAATTGGAATATAATAGTTCAGATACCAAGTGTCCCAAAATGATGGACAATTGGAAGGATTCATGGAAGTAAAATGAAAGCAGATATAAATGAATGGTTTGCTTTGTTCTGCTAAGCATTCTTCTCATAAAATGTTTATATTAGCTAAAAAAGTATATCAACAGATGGCGCTGCTCACTGTAAAATTTATATAATAATGTTTTTTCAAATCATTTCAATAGAAATATTAGCTCTTGTTGTTCTTAGACTATACCGCATTGTCATAGTGAATAACTTTTATTTTAAAAACATTCTTTTATAGTTTTTAGTTAGCAAGGCAATTCAATGATAATCTTTGTTATTAATCTTGAAAATCGGTGCCAAGAATCACTTGTTTTCCTGGCAGAATGTGGCTAGCCATATAATTTTTCATTTTTCCTTAACAGCCTGTTTTAAATCTTTGATCAATTTTGGTGCACCAAGTATACCTTTCTTACTACTTTATTTGTGAAATTAAATAAATTTTTTTTATTCATTTAATTTTCTTCATATGGTTTATTTGAATCATTCTTATTAACACTACTTAAATTTATTTTTTATATTATTTCATTAAAATATCAATGCAATTTGAATTTCAAATATGAAGTAAAGTTAACCATTTGTAGAGTAAAATTAATTTTATGCATAAATTGGATACAAAGTTGGAATTATACTTCATTTTCTTATGCAATGAATAAGCAATTTGTCTAAATTAAAATTGTATTCACTGTTCAAAAGATTTTGAAGGATTGCTTTTTAAATGCAACTTATCACATTTACTTGGAAATTATTTATAAATTTGGAAATTTCTTATTTTTGGATGAGTTAATTAGTAAAGCTGTATTATAAGTAAAGCATATATTAATATTAAACAATTAGCAAAGCAAACTGATAACACTATTTATATTTATGAAATCTTGTCACACTTTTCGGAAATTATATAAAATTCAATATAAAAGCAATGAATCTAATCAATTTATAAAAAATATAAAGGAAATCAAAATTTTTAATTACCAAAAGCAAATAATAATTTCTAAAAAGCCATCAATAATTAATGATTTATCATTTTTGTTGTAACATTGTTTGCCTATTAGGGTTTTTTATTTTTTATTTTAATGAAAAAACTTTCTAGAATGTTCTCAGAAATAAATAAAAGCACTTTAATGTAACAATTCATTTGTGTCATTGTCTGTTTTATTAAAGTAATAATTATATAATTTTTTTAAAAATTTTTCTTCAAATAAAGTTTTAATAAATTAGAAATGCTTTTAAATAAAGTTATTTCAATTTTTATATATATAACTTATTTTCAGGTCCCAGTCATTAAAGATTCATTTATTAAACCTCCTTATAATTTGGAAGAGATTTTTTTGGAATATTCTAAACGGAATTGTAAGTTATATCATATAGAGTTTTGTAAGTTTACTTAATTTTATATATTTGTTTTTTTAATAAAATTATTCTATTCCAGTTACTACAGTTTTTACGAACACATATCCAGTTTGGAAACCTTCAAAATCAAAGAGTGAATCCTTTAAAATTAATATTCTGATCAAGTATCCTGCAGAAACAATTCTGTATCCTTTCTAAATTGTGTGTGTTTTTTCTCGTTTCTTTTGTAAAGAAATTATTTCCTTTGTGTAATTTTTTTATTCAACTCAGCAGTATTCTTTTTAATTTTAAATATGTGTGTTTTTGAGCACCAAATTGTATGATTACTTTTTTTATAACAATAATGCAGAATATTCCATTTTACTCTTATTGTGTTTTATTTATGTTATAAAATATTTGTTGTTTTTAATTATTATAAAGGAATTAGGGTTTATTTCACGATTAGCTGTAATATTTTTGATAATTCATCAAAAAATTAGTGTTTGTTATTTTTAACAGAAACTGTTAGTAAAATACATTTACTATTGAAAATGGTATTAAAATTTGAAATTGGAGCGCTCAAAAATAGGCACTCATTTTTAAGACTCACCAGATATCTGGTGAGTCTTAATGGATGTCCATTTTTAAGCACTCGAAACATATAATTTTTATTAGCATCTTCAATATTGCGAAGCAAATAAAGTTTTTATGTCATTAAGTATTTATTCCCGCTTCAGTTTCTTCGGTTTATTCTTTTAATATTTACTATATTTCTCATTAATATTATAAACAAGTAACAAAATATTATAATAATATGAAAGTTTTATCTTTTTTATTCTTAAGAGTAACTACTGCTCTGCTTACTGCTGCTCACCAACCCCCTAAGTTGCACTGTAACTTTATCAGGATTATTCTGTGATCTTAGCTTGCTTCACTCATCAGTTAGCAAAAGTATTTATTTATGAAAAAAATGTCATGATTTTAATTTTAATTTCAGCTTGTTTAGAGAAAAAAAATGTTCTATTCAATGGAAAATTTGATGCATGATCAAAAGAATAAAACCAGTTTGCAATAATATAAATTAGAACTTTTTTGTTTATTTTACCTTAAAAATTCAATGTCGTGTAAGTTTGTGGGGTTATAGAAAATATAAGTTACAGCAAATTCTCACTTTTATGATGCCAAATTCTTTATTCAGTCACTCCTGCACTAACGTCTGCCAATTTGATATCCTGTATTTATCTGTCAATAGTTTGCAACCATGTCTTATTTTTTAGTTAATACGATGCTAAAAAAATATAAAATTCTGAATCAAATATAGTACTTAGTTTTTTTTTAGCATTTTTCTTAATCACTGATGTTTCTTCTGTAATGTGACATTTTTTTCATACTTTTTCTCTATCAGAAATCATGATTAAGTATTTACTAAAGCTACTAAATATTACTTAAGCTGCGAAATATATTGAGCATGAAAAACACTAGCGCTTTAAATTGTTGGCCATGCTGGGTTTTATTTATTGCTTTAACTAGTTTCAACAATGTAGAACATTTTACAAAAAAGGGGATATATTTCACTCTAGTATCATGTTTTAATACCAATAGTAAAGTGGCATACTGAAAATAAAAATTATTAAATCAGTTTTTAGATGTGCAGATCTTGTATATTTAGCATGTATCTTAGAATATTTTTATATTGGAATTTTATAAAAACCTGAGGGTAAATAAGACTCTTTTTTAAAGAACTGGACCTGAATTATTTTAATAAATTCACTTGCTAAGAATGCATATTTGAAGTATCTCACAAATGTGCACATGTTGGTAGTTTTTTTTGTGTCCAAAATATTGCAATTTTTTTAAAAACCTTTTTTTAATAAGAAAATAAATAAATAAATTAACATTTCTAGGAAAGATTTCCTAAAGTAATTTTCTTGTTGACTTCATTATTACAGAAAATCAAAATAGTCTGACCCAATCTTTATTTGGGTAAGCTCTTTCTAAATATTTTCAGTCAAATCTCAACTTTTGACTTTTGTAAGGAATTTTGGAAACACAATTAAATAACCATTAGACATATTTTAACTAATCACCATCAGTTGTATATATATTACTAGCATCAGCATAGTACTATTTGTAATTGAAATTAGCTTTAATGATTTTACACCAAAATTAAAAAAAGTCAATAGTTAATAATAGTTTCTTTTAAAAAATAATTTGTTTTCTGTTGTAAATAATCAAACCATTTTTACAAATGTAACTGTATGCCTGCAAGTTCTTCCCATGTAAATTATGATGGATTAAACTAAAATGTTTATACAAATAGAAATCTTATTTTGAAAGATTTCTGAAACTGAATGAATGTGGTTACCACAATAAAGTGACTTGCTTAACATGCTATTTGATTTTTGAAAATATAATATTTTTTTTTAATTGATCTATCCTGAGAATAAATTTTGTATCGTTTAACTCATAAGTCCTTCTTCAAAATTATATTTAAGCCAATAAATATGTTTTTAAAAAGTTACGTAAATTTGAAAATAATTTTTTTTAAGTATTATATACAATTATTTTTATATCATTTTAATGAACGTCAGGATTACTTTTCTAAGGTTAATCAAAATAGAACTCTTGAAGAGAAAACTTTTGCAAACTTCTTCTATTAGGCTGGACAATCAGGTCTGAAATAGAAAAACAGAGATTTTTCAAAGCTATTTTTATAGTTGATGGATACTATTTCTTCATGGATGTCACAAGTGCCCAATTTTGGAGAGTGACGAAATTCAAGAATGCTTTTACCACAATAGCGCTCTTAATTTCACAATAAATAATAATAATGAAAAATTCTTACTTCTGCAAAAAAATTAATTATTTTTTTATATTTTTTTCTTGTTTTTAACTTTTATGAATATAAATCGATCAGATGATTCATGAAAATATTTCTTTATTTGTCTGAAATATTATGAAGGACTTTTGTCGATTTTTAGTAAATATAGGGTAATTGATGTAGTAACTTTTGTTATTAGAGTTATTTGCCTTGTAAAGTCAAATCTACAGTTTAAGGTTAATTTTTATGTGAAAAATGGGTGATCACCAAGCATCCTAAAATATAAATCAAAATAATTTATTATCTGTTATGAATCTGATAAAAACATAGTAGCAGGAATAATTGAACCAACAGCAATACCAGTAAATAGTGAATAATTGAAACAATATTTAAACAATACACAAAAAAAGATATCCACAAAATAGAGTACATGAAAATGGAAATTGAAATGAAAGCACGGACTGAAATAGCATCGTTATCAGGGTTTTTTTATCATGTCGTCAGTGCCGAAGCAGTTTCTGCGGTTGGTGGTGAAATAACACAAAAATGTCATACCCCTCTCTCCGTCTGTCTCAAGATAGAGTAATAATCAAGTAACCAAAAGCAAATCAAATGAAGGTTATATTCTGAGATCCCAAAAATCGAAGAAGTACATATATTTGACAGTTAAGAAACCCATTATTTTGGATGAGAAGCCGGGATTTCAGGTTCGAGTACTAAACTAGATGATATGCCTAAACGGAGAACGGAAAATTTACGAATAAAATATTTTAAGTTATAGAGAAAATAAAATTATTTTTGATAAAAATTAAACTAAACTAATCAATTGCAGACAGGAATTCAATTATTATTTGATATATATATATGTATCTATATCTATCTATCTATCTCTCTCTATATATATATATGTTTTTCTTCATAGCCTATGTATAACCCATTAATAAGTTGTGTTCAGAATTAAATCTGTGTTAAACTTTTTTCAAGTACATAATTTATTTTATTATACTGCACTAGTTATAACATCCTGAATTGCTGTTTGCACTAAAAAATTGCAGCCATTTTATCAGGATTTTACCCTTCTGTTACCAAAACTTTTTTTATTTATTTATAAACCTTTCCATTGTTCTTTTCGTATGTTTTTCTTAATAAATATTCAGATATACAGTTGGATTTTGGCAGTTATTAAAGTGGGCCTTGGTTCAATATGTGGCTGTTTTCATGATAATTTCTTATCTAATTAATTACATCAGAAAACGTGTTTTCCAGAATCAATTGCTGCCATCTATTGTAATTGATCCAATTAAGCAGAAAGTGTAGAGCATGAAAATATTTTACTGAAATCTATTTTGTAAATAAATAAATTTATTTTTGTGTGATATTTTACTCTAAGCGTCTCTTTTATTGATTATTTTTTTTGTATTCAAATAAATTTTGTGAAATAGTAGGTCCTTGATAATGTTTAAATAAATGATTTTAAAAGTTATTTTCTCAGAAACTACTAGAAACTATTAAATGTAGGAAAAATAATGGAAAAAATTGAGAAAGCAGATGCGGACAGTTAACGAATTTTTTTACAATTTTTTGCAATGAGGAAATCTTTTAAATTTTTTTTTTAATATTAAAAAGTGAGGGTCAAATTGAAAGAAAAAGCAAATATTTGTGTAAAAATATAAATAATAATTTTTTAAAAAAGAAGGTATTTTTGGTCCGATACAAACTGCACTCTTAGCATGCATTTCGCCAACATAGAGGCGGAAAAATTGCGACATATTTACTCTCAGTATAGCTTTATTCGGACAAAACAATCCTTTTTTAAAAATTTCCTATTTTTATTTCTTGGCATATGTTTGCATTTTATTTTAAATTGACGGTCATTTTTTAATACAAAGCAAATTTCAAACGTTTTCCTCATGGCAAAAAAAAATCAAAAAAATCAGCGAATTGTCCGCCTTTTTGTTAGCGATATATATGCTCTAAGTGCTCATGTGAATAAAAACCAGTTTAATATGAGAAATTGCAATAAAATCTCGTTATTCTAATGTAATTTATAGAGAAAATAACGCCTAATTTTTTTTAACGCTTATGGAAGCAACATAGCAACATTTATCGCAACTTAGCAACATTTATCGATATAGCAACATTTTTGAGGACTTGACGATTTGACTGCATTTGGTGTCAAAATAATTGTTTTGGAACTTCGCGTTTCAAAGCGATAGAACCAACGAGGTAAAAGAGGTAGGATTATGGAGTTATTTGGAGAGGTAGGATTATGACTCAGGAAATTGATACCTCGCCTTTAATGAGGTGACCAGGGTTCTAATCGTAGCTATGACTGGTCGAAATTAATTCCGCTGCCGGCTTGCATCGACCACTGTGCTGACGTAAAATATACTCAGTGGTAGACGGATTATGGGTAGGAGTCTCTATGTCATTAGGCTAACCGTGGGAAGTTTTCATAGTTTGTTTCTCCGTGTAATGCAAATGCGGATTAGTTCCATCAAAAAGTCCTACACGAAGACAATTTCTCTAAATACTTGATCCAGCAGTTCTTTTGACTTTTGGATTGGATTCAAAATTAGAAGGCTACGGAGTTGAACATTAGAAGTCGAAAACCCAATTAAGGTTAGGCTGTTCAACGACGGTTATGAAATAAAATAATGAACTGAAAAAGGTTCATATTTGCTCACTTTTAAAAAAAATTGCTTGTAAAAATCTTAGTAAGTGGAAAATTTTGGAGTTAAAAATATCAACTATTCCATAGTCGTTAACTCAAAATTGGGTCGGCTGTCAACGACGGGTATAAATAAATCGTCTAGAATTGTGCCGAAAGCTACAGTTTTATAGACCAATATATTTCAAAACTTTGTTTCCAAATTCATTATGTAAAAATAGTTTAGTTATAGTTTATAAAATTAAATCATTCTAGTTTGAGAAAGGCTTAAAGGAGGTTAAGGGTGAAAGGTTAGTACTCAATTAGCCAAAAATTTTGGGAACTGTACAATTTCAGATTTCTTAAGCATAAAGGGAAATAAAAAAGTTTTCATTCTCAAACTGTACTTTATAACCCGTTGCTTGGCACTCCGTTTTCTAATGTTTAAATAAAATCTGATACTACATATTACACGATTCTCTTCCTCGTTCTTTTAGTAAATAAAATAATAAATAATAGTTGTCCGTAAGAACCTGTGGGAACGAGGACGTGAAAATTGCATGAGTAGAGATCAGAGTTCTAGTGTCCAGTGCTCAAGTGTCTTCCATTTTAATGTGCATAATTTTTGCTTTAGGATCTTCGTCATATGGGGACATGTATATAGCAGAATCATCCCTTTCTCCACCGTTTTCCTAAATATTACTTTATGAATCTCAGTAAGGTGTTACAGTGTTTTCCAGTTTTTGTTCTCCGGAGAAAATTTTATTTGTGCAGTAAGGAATCATTTGTAACAACGTCCCAAATTTTTTAACAAGTCGATATTGCAACCAGTCACTTGGATAACTAGCAATTGGGAACAAAAATATCGTATTTATGAGGAGCATAAAATAATTCTAATTAATCGAAAATTAAGTATTGAAAAATGTTTGTGTAAAAAGATAGTTATTTGTTATGCAAAAATGCTAAAACGGATCGATGATCTCCATACGTGGTTATAAACTGATCTTGTTTACCGGCCTGTTCTTGTAGAAACATGGTTTATAGATTCCTCCTACGAAATATCCAAGCAAAGAAAATAAATATTTACCAGATATGCAAATAAGAAGCATTATACATAATTGCAACTTGTATACTATGTATTGTACAGTAGACAAGCTAAATTGTAAATTTTCCGGAGGCGCACTTTTTGTAGAACATAGTGCTTGTCATATTTAACTTATTTTTACTTCTGAATGACTTTAATTCTTTGATTTAATACATTCGCACGTGTTATTCAGGAAACGTGTTATTCTTCCTACTTGCTCATCATATGATCGTTTGCGGATCCTTGGCTTTGGCCTATTTTAAGTCTCATGCAGATTCTAGAAAATCTGAATGTTTTTTATAACCCATTTTCTCCGAAGAAACATTCCAAGGTTAAATACCACGCTTTACATAATCATTCTGCATGTATCAATTTTACCCATTTGAAACTGTTGAATAAACAAAAAAATCATTATTTATCAGTTTATTGTTCTCGAAAGGAAAAAAAAAATCGTTTGCTAAATATTAGTAAGAAAACCTCTTAACCGCGCCAACCACCAAGACTTAAAAGGAATATATCTATCATTCTTATAATTTGTTTAAATTGCAGCATTTATATTGAAATTCTTCATTGTTTTCACACCTATCCAGTCACTCAACTCATGCTGAAAATTTATACAGGCGGTAATTCTTCGTTTTCTCTTTCACCAATTACGGAAGCGATTCAGTGTATCAGAGAGTTCATTTTTCAAAGAACTATTTTGTTGTGGGTTGGAATGGTCTTGTTGAAAGTGACGCGCATTTAATGCTAATCTTTATTTGAGACAATAACGCGATGACCAGAAATGCTATAAAAACTCATTGACATTTCGAATAAATCTTATTTTTATTACTTTGAATATGTGATAAATAGTCACGGTCCAAGAATCTGACGATAAAATTTCTTAATTTTGTGGGTCTTAGAATATATAAGTCAGAAAACTGCGCCATATAAGTTCATTTATTTTCTTGCAAAGACAACTGAATAACGTTTTATTTTTCTCTTAGGAGACATCTTTTATTCCAACTGACATTATTCACAAAGTAAGTTATTATTTTAAATAATATTTTTTATTTGTTTTTTGAAGTAATTCACTTGGAAATTTCATAACATTAATTATTTTTGTGTTTTAAATTTTTTTCTTTAAAATCAAAACCATCACCTGCAATTTTTAGAAAGAAATATTTGCACATTAGCTTTTCGATTAATTGTAACTCACAATCTATTTTCTTGAAATTATTCTGGTTTCAAAAATTACTTGATATGTTTTATTTGTAAAAAAATATTTAAAATGTAAAATCAAGTAAATTATTTCGAAAAAACATTACACAACAAAAGGGCATGGCCAAGAACGGGCTTCTTTTCTCTTTGGAGTCTTTTAGGGTAAACTCCATGAAAGTCCTCCACTGATAATGAATTATTTTTTTTTCTGTGCCAAACAAATGTATGAGACTAAAGTCTTTTTCAGCTTCAGGGGAAATTGCGTCAGCAGTTCTTAAATTATTATAATTATCATTTTGTGTAAATCCTTTTAGGAAATATGTAACTTTCCCATATTTTCCAAAATATTTTTAGTTACTTTCTTTTCTCCTCTTCATTTGAAAATGCGAAAAAAAAAATTGCTGATGTAACACTTCTTCAAGTAACCTACCGCACGTTTTCAAATAACAATGACATTGTTTAAATTTTCAGTATTTCAGGTTCGAAATATTTTGTAAATTCTTTCCGATTCTGATTCGATATTTTATAAATTCGCCTGTTAACGAGTTGCAGTACTACATCAATCAGATTTTTTCAGGTTTATAATGATGCTTTCCATCAACGCTAAGCTAGGTAAACAAATTAATTTTAAAATTCTCAATGGATTCATTTTGAATTTTTGGAACCAATCATTTTCTTTATTATTTGCTCATTAGCTTTATTATTAGTTTTAAATATTTCATATGATTTTATTGATTAGCATTTCAAATTATCAAAAATCAATTTGTAAGTGTTTTTTGAAAGAATTAAGTTAAGTTTTTGTTTCTGATTCTGGAACAGGCTTTAAAAATTGTTGAACTTTCGAGACGGTGTGTAATGGCTGAATTTCATCGCTGTATTAGCTCCAGTTAATAATAATATCTGTAGTTATTTTAACTTATCTTTAGGGTACGATTCAATCATGTGAAATAGTTTTCTTTTATAGCTTAATTCCAGTAGAGGCTTTATCTCTTAAACAATAGTTTTATTTTAAAATATCTGAATACCCGTTCTTCACGGGGTGAAAAAATACGCATCAATTATTCAGTATACTACAAAATATTGCACTATAACATCTACACCACAAAACCTTGCACAAAACTTTAAAGAGAAATACCGACATAAATAATAAAGCTTAAATATTTCCAATACTCTCTATTTATGTATAGTTATTTGTTGCAGCTCTCGCAAGCTTTACGTTATTAGATTAAAGCTATCAACAAAACATGTCTTTGTCGTCTTTAAGTCTTTGTTATTGTATTATAAGGTGAAAATATAGAGATATTATTTAATTTTTCTTAACTACTATTTTTTTTAGAAAAGAAAATGAATTACTGCGTACTTGCATTAGTTGTGGTTACCTTGTTTGCTTATGCCCATTCTGCTTCCATGAGCCAGTCTTGTTCTTGGGGTCCTGATGGCATGCCTCGGTGTTCAACAAGTAATGATCCTAGAGGTAATTCTGCTGGAGCTGTAGCTGGATCAAATGGATATGGAGGTCAAATATTTACAGGAGCTGGTGGTCCAGGTGGATGGAATTCAAATTTTGGACAGTTCGGTAAGCGATGCCTCTTTTTCCCTCCTTTAGAAGAGCGTTGGTCACTATTGTAGTTGACTTTTTTAATAAAGCTGAGGGGCAGTGTCACAACATGACAGCTATTTTAATATTTCCCATACTTTCTGCATGTTACCGGCAAAGTTTAAGTGTTATTTTAGAATACCTATGCATTTTATCGAGAGCAGTAAACTGGCCGACAAAGTATGTTACAGTTGAACATTTCACATATTGCCTATAGGAATTCTGCAGACTGCCGAATTCCTATAGGTAAAGAATATACCAGGACGTTCTATGAAATACCTAGGTATTCTATAGAATACCAAAGTTTCATACTTTTATTGGTAACATATATACATTTTTTTTTAAAAAGCAGCTCTAAAAATGTTCAAAATATTATTTTTAATGAGGAATAAATGTCTTTTAAATAATAATCATATTATGAACTGTTTTGAGCTTAAAGAGCACTTGTCATTCTATTAAATACATAAGCGTTATACACTATACTACCCAGCAGAATTATATAATAATTCGCATGTTTTATGTTTTACCAAGAAGTATTCTATAAAAAGTCGGTGGGAATATACCACAAATTTAAAAAAATCAATTCCATCAGTTATTTTGAAATTACTAAATTTTTTAAAAAAAAATTATCGAGATATCATCTATAAATGTAGAATATAGACAGCAGAAAAAGTTCAAAAGTTTTTTCCTTTATCATGGGTGGCGCAAAATAATGGCATTTTTAAGCAACTAAATTATTTTCTTAGAATTCATCGAGATAAATTCTGCAAATTTAGAATATAGTCTTTCGAAGAAGTTGAATAGTTTCTCTTTAATAATAGTTGGAGGGAAACTTAGGGCTACTAAAATAAATGCACCCACTCTGAAGGGGAACAAGAATTTTTTTGACTGAATAATTTGAAAAAAACTTCTATCTATTTTAAACAAGGCCGTGGTGGCGCAGGGGATAGAGCATACGCCTTTCAATTAGGTGAACCAGGTTCGAATCCAAGCAATGGCTGGTCGATACGAATCACGCACCGACCACAGTGCTGACGTAAAATATCCTCAACGGTTGACAGATCATTCGTAAGAGTCTACTTGCCGGCAGGCTAACTGTGGGAGGTTTTCAATGTTTTCCTTTCCATGTAATGCAAATTTGGGTTAGTTCAATCATAAAGTCCTCCACGAAGACTAAATGTTTCCCAACACTTGCTCAAGGCCTTGGTCTTGACTTCTGGATTGGGTTCAAAATTACAAGGTTACAGAGTAGTAGTAAGTAGTTGTAAACTCAAAATTGGGTCGACTTTTCAACGACGGTTATAATATTATAATAGTGTTTATTTGTATCTCGTATGCCCTATTTAAGGGCATACTAGAGTAGATGCATACATAAAACATACAGATGACTTTGTAATTATAAACTCGTAACTATAAACTTTGCAATTGATAACTTGTTAATATTATAATACAATATCTCTTTTGAGCAAAACTTGAAACGCTTAGTTACTTCATCTGAAGATATGAATTATTAATTTTTATTTGTTTTTGATACGGCAAACAAAAGAATCAATTTTAAATTCACACCGTCAGGAAATATAAATGTGAAGTTTATTTATTAGCCTTTTTCAATAGTCTTCGTGAAAGCGACTAACAAAGAAAATATATTTAAATAAATAATTAAATAAATTTTTGAATCTGGTGCATGCCAAAAATAAATGTGATTTCGAAAACAAAATGAGTATGGATTGTTAATTAAAATAAAAAAATTTATAGCACTTTATGTATGTTGTTAAATTTAAACGGAGACTTTCAAATAAAGCTAAGAAAAAAGTGATTTTAAAATTTCTAATAAGTGCAAAGGTATACCATTCATATAAAAGAATGAAGTATACAGTACGTTTTCAACTACAGATCTAACTCTAAAATTTTTCACATCTTTGCTAAAAATGAAGTAAAAATTTACATTTTTCCGTTAAAAAATAATATTTATGTTAGAAAAATATACGTTAACGAAATCTGGGGCATCATAATCGCTATCAATGATGATGAAAGCGTGTTTAAAAATCTCAATGCATAAATTGCTCAATTGAAAAATGTTTTCAAATATTATTACTTACACAGAGATTCTCATTGGTCCACTAAAATAATTTAAATGAGAAAAAAATGTGTATCATGAAGTATGACTCTTACTGTCTCATAACATTTACATCAATGGGTTCCTGATCACCCAAATAATTCGACAATTCAAGTATGTATTGAGAAATTTTCGTTATAAGGACGTCTGAAGAGGTTGCTAAATCATCGGAATTTTTATGTTCATGATTGTGCATTAATGCCTATGATAGTTTACAACCACTTAAGCATTTTTGGTGGGTCATTTTTTTTACATTTGTCTTTCAATTTTATTTGAGAAACAAACTGGTTTAGATGTTATCAATCTCGTCTACATTGTTATTAACATCTTCGATAATGTTTTTTTTTTAAATTTATTTTGTTACTTAAGTGTTAGTTTACGAACGATAGTGTGTATATTGATTACAAATAAGTTTTGGTAAACAATCCGAAAATAAGAAGAGTTATTAAGTATATGAAGTACTTTTTTAAGTTTTTAAAAGTAGTATCACACTTAAATACGTAAATTAATGCAATAATAAGTATGCATATTTGGTGTGATTTCATTAACAATGCATTTTTTACTTCAAGGTTTTCCAGGAAATGTTTTTCCTTTCGGTCAACAATTACCTCAACTACAATACTATGGAAGGCGCTAAATTCAGAGGTAATTTTTATTATGCTTCATAATTTAATTTATTTTCTTTTATCTCTTTTGAACTACAGTTTAAACTATGAAATTTCCCTCTTACCTGTAAATATATATTTAAAACTACAATTTTTAACAAAGAGTATCTAAAAATTAAACTTTTTTTTCGAATAAAAGTTATTACATAAAAATGAAAAAAAAAATTATAAGTGTAGTTATATTTAATTTGTGCTGCATGTTCTCGTACTTTAAGCAATTAAAAAAAGTATAGCATATATCAGTCAATTTTTAACTAACTATTATTATTATCAGTTAAACGGTGTTACATTGAAATTATAGTTATTGAAACACTCCTCTAAATAGTTTTATCAAGCTAACTGTTAGAGATTTATGTTTTTCGTTTTCTTCGTTTATGTTTCATAAAAATGGAATAATATATTTATAAAGAAAATCTTTGAAGCTAATCTTTTTCTGATACTAGAAACGAGATCTTTTTCTCATATTTAAAACGGAATTTTTTCCCAATACCTGAAACAAAAATTCTAAGACTTTGCTCAATTGAATTGAAAAAAAAAAAAAAAAACGGGTTAAATCCAATACGTGCGTCGTCATATATTGAGGGTTGTAACATTAAAATTTTATTTATAACGTTCATGGTTAAAGTTAAAATTTTAATAAGCCTTATAACTAATATTGACGTATTCTAAAATGTTTTTAAACTATAATTTTGAAATCGATGCAAACATAAGACTACATAATAAGGGATTAAACTGCTCTTTTTAAAAAATATGTGGATGTTTCTTTAAATATTTATAGTTTTTCTTTTTGCAATATTAAATAAATTTTTTTGTATTTAATTCTAAATACAGTATTCGGGAGTTAAGTTTTATTGTTTCTTCATTTTTAGGGATTTTAGTAAAATTTCTGTATATTTCTAAATATTTCTTACACGTGATTGTAAGTTTTAGAGAGTTTATACAATACGTTTAATTGCAAATCAGAAAAAAAAAGTTTTTCTTTTGTCTGCGCATGAAAAATTTAATTAGTTTACACACTTATATCTCGTTAAGTTATTGAGCAACTTATAATACATTTTTGATGTTATAGATGATTAAATACTTAAGTTTTAAGTAATACTATTGTACGGTTTAAGTAAAAGTTTTTCAAGTAACAAGGAAAAAAATACATATATCCATAAGTAGAGGCCATATTTTTACTGAAAGTTTGGATATTATTATAAAACTATTATTGTATAATGATTACTATATGCTACATGTAAAAGAATTTAATACTTTTTTAAAAGTTACGGATAGTTATAACTTTAAGTAATACATGATAGTAAAAATATTATTTTCCAATTTTAATATTTTTGATAATTTATAAATAAATTTTGATGGTATAAATTAAATTTCTCTTTCACTGTGTTTGGGCTTAAACTTTCGTAAGGTAATGTATTTAATATTTATTAATCAACATTTTCTTAGTTTGTAATTATAATAAAAGTATTATAAATATTCAGCATCCATAAAATGCAAAGATGCAGTGTTTGTTTAAACTTTTAACCTATAACTTAATTATTATTAATTATTTAACCTATTTAACGTCTGAATTTTTTACAAAAAAGCTTATATGAAAAAGTTATTATTTTTTTTTAACTAAATGAATATTTTCTTCTGTTAGCTACTACTTAATTTTTGAAAATAATAAAAAATATTTGCTTGATATTAAAACAGTCCCGTTTCAGATAATAAGAATTATTGTAGAATTATTGTTATTCGTGTGACGTTTATGTCATGAGTCAACATTAATAATGTTCCTATATAATTACTGCAATTTAATAATGTGTCTACAACTCTCATTATTGTATCTAATGGCATTTTCTTTATTTTATAGGTGAAATTGTAAACTGACGTGTAAAAAAGTTCCGGAGAGTTAAGACTTTTACCTGATATACATATATATGTCTTTTTATACATTTGTATTTTAAATAAATGTATTTTATTTATATCTTGTTGATATTTTATTTATGAAAATTCTAAAAATACTGGTAGTCATTCAGGATTAATTTTGAAATGACCTTTTTTGACAAGACAGTAATTACTATACAATAAGTTTCTTAAAGTCCACTCTTTCGCTTTTTTCGCTTGTTTATTTCAAATGATTTTGATTTTTTGCATGTTTATATCAAAAATATATTAAGAAGATAGACTTGTACGGTTTGGTGTGTTTTAGCTAAAAAGCCAGACGCTTATTCTTTCCTAGTTTAAAAGTGATCATGTTTGTTAACAGATGGTTTACTTAATTTTATTTTATATTTTATAACCAGCCTTGAGCAGCCCCCATTCTGTGTTAACGACTATCATTGTTCAAATTCATATCCATATAATTGTGAACCCAATCCAGAAGATAAGGGAACTTCAGGATGAAGCATTGGGCAATTAGCCTTCTTGGAGGACATTTTGATGGAACTAACTTGCATTTGCATTACATCTAGAGTAAAACAACGAAAACCTTCATAAAGTTAGCACGACGGCAAGGGGATTCTAACCCATAATCTATTAATGAGTATATTTCGTTTAAGCACTGTGGTCGTTTGGCACTGGGTCAGAATTAGTATCGGCTAATTCACGCTAGGATTCCTGGTCACCTGGGTCACCTTATTGAGAGGGAAGCGTTCTATTCCCTGACCCACTGCAGCTCTGTCACGCTTAATTGTGGAAAAGTATGAAATACTGTTTTCTTCAATTTAACGTCTGGCGTATTTAATTGAGGAAAGCTATGAAAGAATGTTCACGAAATAACTACTATTTTGCAGTAGCAACGTGGTTTTTCTTTTAGGGCAAAATTACCGGATTCCCAACCAAATATTTTACTTAGAATGGTCTAGAGCAGGATGCTAGAACAGGCATAAGAAAACATTGTTTTTTTGTTTTTCTATAGTAGCGCCATCTGTGGAGGAACTTTGTAATGCATTTTAAAATTTGCTACGAAATAAGTTTCCTAATCAGAACGCAGCAAACCATACATTTCTATCTTCTTTCATATTACTTACCTATTGTGGTAAATCAGTAATATTGTGCTATTAAAATTTGAATTAATTGTATGAAAGCTGAAGAGGTAAATAAAACCACTGTCAAGTGAAGTTTTCAGAGATCCTTATGCCTACGCTTTTAGTTTCCTCCAATTTTTTATCGACTGTTTCAATTATATTTTAAAAAAATATCGAATAATGTAAAAATAAATGTATTCTAGAGGAAATCATAAGCATTTACTGTCAGAGAAAATATTTTTATTTTTCGTTGATATTACGTTGGATGGATGAAACAATAAAACTTCATTGCACAAGCATTCTAGGATGTGCTAAACATATTATTTCATTTAAACAATGTTAAAGTTCATTTTAAGATTAATGAAAAAATATTTTTAAGAAACGAATTATTTCTTAAAGTTTAAAACATATCTGAAAAGATGATTTATTTCATATAAATGCAAATGCTGATAAAGGCGGATGTGAATAGGATAAACCATATTTCTCCGTTTTGTAGTAAATAGATTTTATTCTGAAAAGTGTTATTTGTGTCTTCCGTGACAGTCGACTGAGTTCTAGAGTTTTTTATTTATCAAAATGAGATGTGTCCAAGAATGCATTGTCCATACATTTGAATAAATCATGCATATAACACACGTGTATCCTGTTTTTGGTTACAAACTGTCGGATTCCACGTCTTTCTAAAACAATAGAACATTTTGAATTTTTTTATTTATTCCTGAAATAGCAATAGCTTATAACACAACATTTGCAACGAAACAATTCCTTTGTGGCTCTAAATTGCAATTATTAACTAGTCATAGATTTTGAATTAAAGTCAATTTTCAAACTAGCAATATTTTTTGGCTCGAGATTGCAGCTGCAAATCGGTCGTTATTTGTGCTCTAAATTTTAGTTAGAAATTGACCCCAGTTTTTCTTCTAAATCGCGATTGCAAATAAATCAAAGTTTTGTTCTAAATTGTAGTTAGAGTCGCGATGGCTCAGGGAAGAGAGTGTTTGCCTTCCAGTGAGGAAAAGTGGGTTCGAATCCTAATGACAACTGGTCGATATGAATCTGCTCCTGGCTTGCACCAACCACAGTTCTGACATGAAATATCCTCAGTGGTAGACGGATCGTGGGTTGCCGTTAGGCTAACCGTGGGTGGGTTTCGTGGTCTTTCCTTCCATGTAACTCAAATGCGGGTAAGTTCCATCGAAAATTCCTCCATGAAAGCAAATTTTTCCTAATACTTGACCCAGTCATGTCTTGGGTTCATAATTTCAAGGCTACCGATTTGAGCAATAGTAGTCGTAAACCCAAAAATTGGGTCTGCTCCTCAACGACGGTTATAAAATATAAAATAAATTGCAGTTCTCTTCCAAATTGTAGTTCTTAATTTGCCGAATTTTTCGCTTTAAATTTTATTTGCTAACTAGCGATACATTTTGACTCTGAATTGCCATTTCAAATTTGCTATAGTTTATGCTGAGTCACAAGCAAACAAGAGTTTCTGCTCTAGATTGGAGTTTGAAATTGGATTTACTTTTTGCTTTATTCTGAAGTTGCAAACTATATTTAGTTTTTGTTCACAAACCGGCCATAGTCACAAAATGGTCATAATTTTTGCTTAAGGTCAATCTCTTTTATGAGGCAAGTCAGAAAAGTAAAATGTTAAAATATATATTTCTGTAATTTTACATTACAGTTTATAAAAGCTTTTGAAACTGCATCTCCTGAATAACTTTTTATATACATCTTTTTTTGAATTTTTAAAAAAATTGGATGCAGAGTTATTGCACTCGAAAAGTAGACCGAAAATGGTTATGAAACGTTAATAGGTTTCAATCAGATAAATATATTTAACTGAACTTTCTTTTAAATGGGTTTATAAACAAATAATGTGAAAAAATAGCCTCTAGCAAGCTATGCAGAAGTTCTATTTAACTCTAGAATTAGTATTGCCGTTAAGAAATAAATTTTAATAACTTTATTAAGTTTCATAGATACAAATCAAGAAAATATCCTTCTTAGAATGACTTACGATATATTTTATTGCAAATTTCAAGATTTTATTTCTATTCTATAAAATCTCCTCACCATCAAATTCTTTCATTCGATTAAGAGCTGTTTTAATTTTACTTTATTCCCATTATTCCACTATAGGCATCGGCTTTCTCTTGGCTTCGGCAATCCTCCATTCTCTGTACTTTTAATGCATTCTTCAAATTTCTTACACATCCCACCTCCCTCTTTAGTGATTATACAGATTTCCATTACATTTTTGTTTCTTCTTAGTTTATATTTTAATATAGGTTTTCCTAATGTGCGTATTTTTTTGACTTAATCTTGATAATGAAATTAAAAATCAAAATCAAAGGTGAAATTAATATTTAATTATAAAATATCTATATAGAGTGCTTTACATTAAGTGATTTTGGCATAACAACGCCGAAGAACTTATCTAACAACCATAATTGATGAAGGATATCCAGTGAATTATCTATCGTTTGTCAACGTTGTCTGTCCTATAGTAAAAAAGTTAACAGTTAAAATAATATAACGGTAATAAATAACGCAAGCAACTGTTTATTTCAGCAGCATAAAATTTATTAGTAAATAATTTAATAGTCTTTGATCTAGTTAGTTTTCACTTTAAGCACGTGACTTAACACAAAATTATATATTTGTTTTGCAATTTGTAACACGTTTTTCATAAGCTTTTTACAAAAGAAGTTCAAAATTTCAGTATTTCTCAGGTACGTCTAGAATATCATTTATTTTGTATAGTTCGTGAGATAATTTCAGTTATATTTGCTTAGAATTATTTATATAAAAATGATTTATTGAAAATACAATGTTTGCCAATATTAGATTTGTTGCTATTATTGCATCGCAGAAATAGCCTGACTATGCATAATGAAAAGTTTAACTCAATGTGCCGTCATTTTTCTTCCTTTTTTAATTTTTGGTACCTAACTATGGCATTTAAAATTTAATGTAGTGCAAGAAAAATTTTACTTATTTGATAAAAATTACAATACTAATAAATCTTTTCTTCTGATGAAAGCTATTGCTTTGATGTCATCAACATGCTCTTGGGGAAATTTCCATATCGCTGTGGCAGAATAATCGCCAAGTCTTGACAACTTCCGGGCAGCGTCGCTCGAAAAACTTTATTATTTTTTTTTAAAGGAAAGAAAATCACAGAAATTGATCTACTTAAATTGATCAACTACCCTCAAGCAAACCTCTACATGTTTTTTTTAAATTTTTTTTATTATAAATTGCTCGGTTCAAAATCAGTTTGGCGCCTTGGTGATTGTATTCGATGGCGTATTAGCTCACGATACAGAAATATCCTCGTGCTTTTAACAAAACAAGGAAGAAAAAAAAGAGCCACACTATGAGTGTCTTAATCTTGAAATAAAGCTTTAATCTCAAATTATATATATTATAAATTTAAATAGAAATGTTGGGACTTTTGAACAAGGAAATAGCTTAAATATTTAAAAAAAAAAAAATATTTAATTTCCTTGAAAAGAGCCAATTTGGCGATATATTTCCCCGGTATAAAAATTATTAAAATCTCAAATTTTGTTAATTTTTACGATCCCAAACAATGGAACTTAGGAGTAACTTTACTAACATTGAAAAATGAAATCAGAAACACTTTTTTTTTTCAAACTGCAACTTTTCTTCTTTTTTGTTATTTTTCACCAATTTAATACTTAATGTAAAAAAAAACGCTGGCTAAATACGTACAAAACAGTAATCCAATAGTAATAAATAGTTGTTTCAAACTCAAATCAAGTACAGGGGTTGGACAAAAATATGGAAGCACCTTCAAAAAAACATGTTTCTTCGCTTTGTTTCTTAATATGGTGTAGGAAACCCGTTGGCATCCAAAACAGCTTGCAGTCCTCTCGGAATGGATAAATACAGTTCCTGTATGTTTGCCAAGGGAATATTATACCATTCTTCCTGCAAAACGGTGGCAAGTTCAGATAACGATGTTGGCGGTGGATAACGAGAACGCACTTTCTGTTCCAATGTAGACCGCAAAGGTTCGATAATATTCAGGTCTGGTGACTGTGGTGGCCAGAGGAGATGGGACAACTCATTCTCGTGCTCAGAAAACCAGTCCTGGACAATGTGAGCTGTCGTCTTGGAAGACACCATCACCATCGGGGAACAAAGTTTGTACCATGGGATGAACTTGATCGGCCAAAATTTTCACATAAGTCTTGGCAGTCATGTGCCCTGACACAGTTATCATGGGGCCAGCAGAGAACCGCGATATGGCTGCCCAAACCAAAACAGAATCCCCGCCTTGTTTCACTCTTGGCAACAAGCAGTCTGTATTATAGGCTTGAGCTGGCGTTCTCCAGAAGTAAACTCGGCCAGAAGAGGGAAACAATGTGAAGGAAGACTCGTCAGACCATATTACTCGCTTCCCCTGCTCTACAGTCCAGGCTTTATGACTTAAACCAACACCTCCTAGAAGTATGAAGGCCTCAGCACGGATCAATTTAGTAGTCCGATGTGACGAAAACTGCGCAGTTGATGAAAAATAAGAAAGATGTCATTACGTTCGGGGTACTAAGCTGCGCAGTGGTTGAAAATACGACATGTGTCATTACGTTTGGACTACTAAAGGATATTTATGGTAACCCGTGCAGAGGCCTACTCTTTTCTAGGAGGTGTTGCTTAAACACCACCTTTTCCTGTTACGGGCATTAGCATCACTGCTGAGTGGCTTCTCAATTGCAGCACGGCCAGCAATTCCCTGTTTATGAAGCTCCCTTCTAATTGCTTTGGTACTCACAGGGCTCGGTAACACAACATTCATTTCAGCACTAACTTTTGCAGCTGTGGTCTTCTTATTTTTCGTCACAATTGCCCTTAATGATCGTCTGTCACGATCACTCAGGACACACTTTTGTCCGCGCTGTGATTTAGCACATGATGTTTTTCCGCTTTTCAAATACTATGCGGAATAAATCTTCGATACAGTACCTCTTGAAACACTAAACACCTCGGCTACCTTGCTTACGGAAGCACCTACCATACGTGCTCCAACAATTTGCCCACGTTCGAAGTCTGTTGACTCTGACATAATGCAATGACAACCTCACATAACAGTACTCCGACACCAACTGAACTGTTTAGCACATTTACGAAGTTGTATAGGTGGCGTAAGTAGTCAAAAACGCCAGCGCCACCTACATATTTCATTAAAATCAATCTTTCTTTTCAAACATGCATTTCACAAGGTATTTCCATATTTTTGTCCAACCCTTGTTTAAAAATAGCATACTTTTTGCTGAAAAACGTAATTTTATGTAACGATACAGCCTTAGAACAGAATTAAAAGCGAGAAAAAAAGAATTTTTTGTGCAGAAAAAAATTCGATTTCTCCTTTGTTCCTTTTTGGAATACCACAATTTCCAATTAGGTAATAAAATGTTTCTGCGTATTGTGCTCATACTAAGAGAAAATTTTGGTAAACGTGTAAAGTACTTAACTGAAAGAAACTCAGCTAAAGACTTTGAAAACTTTTTTAAGTATTAAATATTTAGTTCTTGTAAAGTTGTAAGTACTTTGGAAACTTGTTACTTTGGAATTATACTTTGGAAAAAGTATAAATCTGAAAACAATACCAATAAACAGTTTGTTATAAAAATGATATCTCTGGTAAAATTTTCGCTTGTTACTTTTATTCAAATTTACTTCCTGCGTATTCTTTATTTGTATTTTTCGGTTAGTCAAGAGCAAGCAAAAAGTCGCCAAAAAGGTAGACCTTTGCTAATGTTTTTAAAAGCCTTTTTTATTTTATTTATTTTTCTGAAATACATAAAAATTAAATAAAATAAAAAAAAAATAAATAAATAAATTAAAAAGAAATTATATAAAATGAAAAAAAAAATAGTTGAAACCCTGCTAACCTAATATTACTAATAATACCCTTTATTTTGCACATTGGTAGTATTTTAAACCCACTTAAACTTTGAGTTATCCGGTTGTTTAAATTCTCCTAATTTCTTGTTAATTATACAAGTATAGTTTCGAATTAATGTCCAAAATATAATGTTGGTATGTGCCGACCGGCCTGTGTAGGGGTTAGGGAACTGCCCTTGCATCAGAAACGTTCTGCGTTCGAATCCCGGGTAAGGCATGGATGTTCTTTCCTTCTCTGTACTATCTGCCCTTACTGTGGGAGCAACGTTGGCCCACCTAATATGGTGCCCCTGAAAGAGAGGCCGACAAAATCGCCCTGT